TTTTTTTGGTCTCTATTTCATTTATTTCTGCTCTGGTCTTTATTATTTCCTTCCTTGTACTCCCTTTGGGCTTGTTTTGCAGTTCTTTCTCCAGTTCCCTTAGGTGTAAAGGTAGACTGTTGATATGAGATTGTTCTTCTTTCTTTAGAGTATCCTGCATCCTTAATCTTGAAATTCACCAGGATCCTGTTTTGGGTGTATCTTCAATATAATAGGCCAAGGTCAGTTACCAAGAATCAATATATTTCACCATAATGGACTCAAGTGAGAAAGCATTTAGAATTTCATTTTAATTTACGTATTAGATTTTCAGTATACGTACGTACCCTTTTGCATTTTTTAGTGGTTGCTTTGTAGCAGCATTGCCTGATAGAAATATAATGTGAGCCTCATATGTATACTTAAAACACATCTCAGTTTGGACTAGCCATATTTTAACTGCTCAATAATTACATATGGCTGGAGGCTACCATATTAGCTTTAGCCTCCTGCCCCACATAGCTTTAAATATGGCAAATGTCTTGAAGGGGAACTGTTTGCTTATGGCAGGCTCCTCCTTTCATGGGACTTTATCTCTTAAGACCTGTGCAACTTGGGGAGATTTTCCTGCCTTTCCACCACAGCTTCCTGCACTGTCCCAGAACTCAGCAAACGTCCTGCGGGGAAAACCTGTGTTTTCAGTTCCTCTAGTTTCCAGTCCACCCAGCCAGCCCCAAGGAACCCACCAGAAGCTTTTCTCGTTTATCTTACCCCAGTGAAATCTCCCTACCTGGAGAACACTGGATCCTCAGCCCAGTAATAAATGAGCTCAGGGAAGGAAACAGCTACAAATCATCAGCTCACCTCAGGGCTCTGGAATTGTACGTACTTCATGTCATTCTCGTTGCTCGCACAGCTACCCCGTGTCCGTAGCAACGTGGTTTTGCAGTTTGTCCAGTGTTTTCCTAGTTGTCGTGGGAGCACTGGCTGGCCTGCTGCAGTGTCCTGCATCCTACCTGAAAGTGAAGGTCTACCCTGTAAAAGTTTAGAAGTTAAGATCTAACGTGTACCCATTTTTTCTGCATCTCACCGTTATAAGAAGGAAGGCAGATGCATGAGGAGGGTTAGATAATGCCAGTTGAGAAAGACGTGTTAGGAAAGAGGAGTACTGAAATGAGGTTTTGACAGAAGGAAAGCAGATGTGAAATGAAGAAGGGTGAGGCCACCTGCCTTCACATTTTCGTTTCACGGCCCCACGGCAGGCACTCTAGCCTAGCAGCCATCCTGTCACTCCTGAATTGCACCTTTTGAGACACAGCAAGTAGTGTGTAAGGGTTCTGGTGTGCGTTTCTGCCACTTGTTAGCTGTGACCTGTAGATCAGAGGTCCTTCTTTATAAAACAAGATTGATGATATGGCATACTCTTTTAAAGAAATTGTGTGGATAAAGGCCTACTGCATGTTAAGCACTTAGCAGGACACATAGTAGGGCCTCAGTAGCTGTTAATTATGAGTGTGAGTGTCTTTTGTAGGCCTCTGCCTTATCTTCTGCTCCATCTTCCTGAAATGTTCTCCTTGCCATCCTTGTCCTCTTTACTTGCTTATCTCATTTACTCTTTGTTTTTAACAATTTATTATGATTTGTGTCATTTTAAAAACATTGGCTCATTAAACCATGTAGAAATAAGTATGCAGAAAGTCTGCAAAACATACTTTAAACATGTTTAAGTGTAGAGATTATCTGAAATAACAGATTTTCCAGTCATTTCACTAGTATGTGATGGCGACCAAGTAATCCTTCACTTCAGTTTGAGTAAGCCTCCTAGATCCAGCTTCATTGCAGGTTCCAACTTCTACGTTATCTTCTGTCATTTGCCCTCCGAAGCTTTCCTTCAGGGTTAATTTGGCTGTGTGAATGGCATCTTCAAGTTCTAGATCTTCGTTGTGTCTTTTTCTCAAGGAGAGTTTTCCCATTCGCATAGTTCTTTCCCATCGCTGTGGCTTTCCAGGCAAATTAAGCTCCAGATGGATCTGACTGAAATAAATATGGGCGTCCCTTATTCCAACCACAAATTAGTAAAGAAACTCCAAATGGACGACCACCACCTGACTGGGCATATTCTTGCATCACAGAAGCTACTCTCTGTACCAGCTGAGCTGTGGGAATGGGCTCTTGGTAAACAAGATAGTGTTGCTGAGCCAGCTTCCAGCTCTGCACCAGCACCCTGTAATCTGGGCCCAGGCACTGCATACCAAGCCTATACATTTAGTAATTGGTCCCACTTTGTGTACACTTCGCTCCTCATATGGAATGGGTTTCTGTTTCTTCCTAGTTGCTAACACCACACCATTTGAAGCTTTAATTCCCATTGTAGGGGCTCCTCCAGCTATAGCAGCCAAAGCATGTTCAATCTGGACAACTTTACCAGACGGGCTGAATGTAGTCAGCAAAAAGCTGTAACCGTGCTCTGCCGTCTTTACCCGGAGAGCCCTCTTCCGTTTACTCTTAGTGTCCCAGTCCGGATGACTTTTCTTTCACAAAAGATTCTTTTCTGGTATCCCTTCTCAGAGCTAACCCTCTTCCTCAGACACACTGGTTTTCCTAGAGAGTTCTTAGAAAACAGACGCATGGCCTCTGCTCTATACTAATTAAATCGAACGCGGGGGTACGCCTAGGCATGAGTATTTTCCAGAAGCTCCTCAGATGATTCTGAGATAAAGCTAGGGTGGAGAACCACTGGCCATAATTCTAGTAAAGGACCAGTCACGTAGGTTTGTCTACTTGTCTTCTTCCTTCATAGCTCACATGTAGGTTCCACATGTAAGGGCAGAAACGTTTTCTTCTTCATGTTTGTATCCTAAGTACCTGGCACAGAGCCAGCCTGGACTATAGAGACTTGGTATATGAATGGATATATTTTTATATCTAAAATGTTGGCAAGATCAATAAGAAATAAAGTAGAAATCGTTGAAACAGCTAATAATAAATTGCATGCTCCCTCTGATTTTTAAAAGGAAAAAAAAAAGGAAATTCTCTTTAAGTATTACTTGTTTGTTATGTAGTTTCTATGGAACTACTAGTATACCAGGAACTAGAGGGATTGAGAGGAATATACTAAATATTGGGTTGTTGGGTAAGTCATGACTCATTTTTGCATTGAAAAACATAGAAAAATACGTCATGACTTTACCGACGACCCAATAGCTCCTGCCTCAAAATTTGAAATGTAATCATTATGCGTTGTAGAGTAAGAGATTTTCTGCCTTCAAGACACTGAAAGCTAAGGGATTGTTGAGGTGAGTGTAAGTATAAAATACTACAAAGCATAACAAAGATAGGAATAGTGATATAAGAGATTTAGGGAAATGAAATTTTCTGGTCACTTAGCTAGAGTAAGGAAGGAATTCATGGCGGAGGTAGAATTTACCCTAAACCTCTTGGGATTGATGGCTTCCATTAGAATGTGAAAATGGTAGTCTAGACAAGACAAAATATTAGAGTTATGTGGACAATATAGTTTACCTGGGTAGTAGAACCCTTGATCTCCATGCTTAACCCCCAAAACTTGCTCCTCGCCCAGGCTTCGTGGCAGCACCATTTATCCAGGTGTTAAAACCTGGGAACCCTTTCTTTTTCCTCACATTCACATCCAGTCCACCTGCAGGCCCTGTTCGTTGTCCAATCAGAGTTCCAAAACAGACATTCCCTTCCCTCCTTCTTCATCCCTGATGGCATGCATCCCACCTTCCACGGCCTTAGCAGACTGACCTCCGTTCTGTCTTTTTGCACACCAAACTCGTACTCAGGACCTTTGCACTTGCGGTTCGTTCCCTGTGGAATGTTTTTCCTGTAGATCTTTAAGTGACCGCTGCTCCTGCTTCACATTGTGCTGATCTGGCTCCACTATCACTTCCTGAGAGAGGCCTTTCCTAACTACCCTATCCGAAAGAGCCCCTCCCCCGTCATTTTTATTCCTAGTACCCTTTATTTTCCTACTAGCCCTCATTACTCTGTGAAGTTCAGTTATTTGTTAATTTGTTTATTACCTGTCTCTGTCGTTAGCATGTGAGCATCCTAAGAGTGGGGACTTGTTGTTACTCACTGAGACAGTCTCAGTTTTAGGCGAGTGCCTACACATAGTGAGTGCTCAAATATAAAGGGTGCCCAAAAAATGTATGCACATTTTAAGAAAGGAAAAAACTGTATTAAAATTGTAATTCTTGATATATACTGATAAAAAAAGATGAATACAAGTCACGTTTGACTTCTGCAATTACAAGAGGTGCTCAAAGTGGTTACCATCAGCGTAATTTTAATAGTGTTTTCATTTCTTAAAATGTGTACCCTTTTTTGGCACCCTCTGTATATTGAATGGGTGAATTATAGATTATATTAAATAATAGATGTAAGACATACATGGTGAAGGTTCTGAATTTCAGATTGAGATGTTTGTATTTAATTTAAGTAGCTACCAGCCACTGTGAGTCTTTGATCAGAATAACCCTGATCAAAATTCTGTTTTAGGAAAGTTTAACAGAGTACAAATACTATCATTAAATATTCACATAAATCCTATGATATAGTATTTATTTTCACCATTTTGTAGTTGAGGAAAAGAAAGGTGAAAAACTTTTTCAACACCACACAGGAGATACACATGATGGAGTGGAGGATAAATTCCAAAGTCAGGTTTTTTAAATCACCGTACAGTCTATTGCAACAAGTTGGGTATGGTGATGAGAAAAAGGAAGGAGTAAAACAGTGAGTCCTCAGATTTTAAGCCTTGGTGATTGGAAGAATCTTGGGAGAGAAATAACTTCTTGAAAGATCCTATTTCAAATATCCACAAAATATATAACAAGGATTTCAAGTAGTATATGCTAAAATCAAACTCAGAATAAACTAATTTCATCTATAGTTTTGTTATAACGCAGTTAGACTTATGGCCCATTTAAGATTACTGTTACTGTGACACCTTACATAAAATATTGTTTATTTTAGCTCTTAAAATTAATATTTTAGTAAAGAAATCTTCAAGCCTTTTCTAAACTTACCTAGCTTTTTTGCATTGTTAAGTTGATTTTAATAAGGAAATTAACTCTAAAAATCAAATCACTTCCCTAAACTGGTCCATACAGGAGCAGTGCCTGACAGGTAATATACACTCAGTAAATATTTAAAGAAATGAATTTTTAAAAATTGACAAAGTAATGTTTGACTTAGCTTTCTAATTTATTTTTGTTCTGGTTTTAAAAGATGCACAGTTTGAAACTGATGACCGAATTACACCCTTGGAATCAGCCCTGATGGTTTGGGCTTCAGTTGAAAAGGAACATGACAAACTTCATGAAGAAATACAAAATTTAATTAAAATTCAGGTATGAGTGTTACTTTATGTTTGTAATTAAGTATTTTGCTAGAAAATAAAAATATAGCATCTGAAGAAATTAAATTAAGAGCCACTTAATGAAAGTTGAGTGCTAAACCCAGAGTAAAATTTAATATAATCATTCTCTGTAGAAATTTGACCTTTGGTTTACAGTCTTGACACGAGCTCTGAGATCTGGGACTTAATGTTTGCTACCTACGTGTATATTGCCCCCACTTCGGGAAATGTGCCTGATCATCAATTTAAAGATCACCAAGCAACTTTCAAAGACCCGTGGTTTGTGCTCTCCCAATTTTTATTTAAAGATTATAAATATGAACATATTAGAATATTTGATACAAAATAAATGGATTTTTGTGATTAAGAAAATGCAAATCTTTATGTAGAGAGAATTTTAGGAGGAGCCTATTAAAGAGTGAGAAGCCAAAAAAGTCATACGAAGATATAATAATAGCAGGGAAAATATGTTTTGCTAACAGGCAAAGCACATAGTAGGGATTTTGTTAGATAAATAAACTTTTCCTTAAAAAATTTTTTTTACAGTTGGGTAGAAAAGAAAATCCATGTGGTGTAATGTACTACCTGCCCAAGAATTACTAATAGTATAATGACGGCCAAGTAGAATTAAGACCTAAAGAAACTGGGCAGAAAAAGGACTGCTTCTTTTAAGAATTTCAACCTACAGCAAAGAGATTTATGTTACCCCCATCTGGGGGTGGTTCTAGAGAAGCAGGCCTTTGTTAATATACTAATTGGATTGTTAGAAAAGTCATGACGTATTTTTTCTATGTTTTTCATTGCAAAAATGAGTCATGACTTTTCCAACAACCCAATAACTCTAATCCTCACAACAACCCTACGAAACAGGTACGATTGTTTCTACTCTTTTACATATAAGGAAACTGAGGCACCAAGAGGTTAAATAATTCACCCAAGTTGACTTAGATGGTAATGGTGTTCCATATTTACCTCGTATAGTATCAAAAAGGTCAGTTTATAAAATGATTATTCAAAAGCATCTTTCTTCCTTGGTTTCTTTTAGAAATTTTCCAGGGATCCTAACTCGAAAATTTTATGTCTCCTGATCATCACAAATGCCATCGACCTCTCTCATTTTCCTTTTGCTCAAAATGTTTAGGTGGGTCTTAAACGTATGTAATGTAGCTCCTAATTTCATTATTAATACCTGCCTTCAATGTGGCCTAAACTAGAAAGAGAGAGAATTCTGGGTGTTTATGAGTAAATATTCAATGGGCCAAAGAAACTTTTCCCTGTCTTTTCAAACCACAATTATTTTATCTGTGAAATACTTTATATCATTTCTCAAATCATAATTATTAAATTACATAAAATATTTTAAATGAAGTAATTTAGACTTACCTGAGTTATTTCAGTATTTAAATAACAGTTAGATATTTCAGAAAGCAACCTGAGGTATGTATTTGTCATCCTATCTTTTAGGCTATAGCTATTTGTATGGAAAATGGCGATTTTAAGGAAGCAGAAGAAGTCTTTGGAAGAGTATTTGGTGACTCAGACTCTAACACGGTAATTCTTTAGATTAGAATCAGAATTTTAGAACTGTTTATATGGAATGAGGAAAATTGAAAGTATATTGGAAGAGAAACTGAACAGTTTATCTTTTAAACAGTGTAGGACAGTCCTGTCCAATAGAAATAGAATGCAAGTCACCTATGTGATTTTAAATTTTCTAGTAGCCACATTAAGTAGGTGAAAAGAAACAAGTGAACTAATTTTAATAACATTTTATTTAACCCAATATATAAAAACACATTATTTTTAACAATCAATATAAAAAAGTATCAATGAGATATTTTGCACTTCCTTTTTTGTACAAAGTCTTTGAAACCTGGTGTGTATTTTACACTTTTGTCTAAATTCAGGACTCACACATTTCAAGGGCTCAATAGCCACGTGTGGCTAGTGGCTCCTATATTTGGACAATGCAAGTATGAAAGGAGGCGTTATAACTTGCTTAATTTTTTCTAGAGGTTTCTTTTTTTTTAAGATTTTATTGAGGAATTGGGGGAAGGGAACAGTGTTGGGGAATCAGGGAAGGGGAACAGACAAGCTGCTGTCCTTTTGTTCTTCAGTCTAGTTGTGGAGGATGTCGCTTCACTGGCCCATGTTGGTATTATCATTGCGCTCTTCCTGGTTGAGGCAGTCGCTCACTGACCATTGGACGGCGGCTCATGGCAGCTCTCACCGGCTGCCGACCACTCACGGTAGCTTACGGCAGCCCGCTGCAGCCTACACCATCGCCAGCAACTCACGCAGCCCAGCTCCAGGTCGAGCTGTTGTTCACCATCTTAGCTGTAGAGGGCACAGCGTCACTGGCCCTCATGTGGGATCTGAACCGGGGCCCTACTGCTCAGAGCTGGCGCTCCCAAGCCAACTCTTAACCAACACGCCACTCGAGAGGTTTCTTATGTGATCATTAATAGTGTTTGTGTATAAGTGTAATGTTAGGGTCAATAGGACTAAGTTTTTAAATATTAAAAGCAAAATGCCATTGGAATGAATTAAGCTTATTCAGAGAAAAAATAGTTTTATAGAAATTTTTTAGCAAACATTTTATTGAACAATAGCATACCTCTAGTAGAGTACATGTATCATAAATATGTAAGTAGGTGTGTTGTCACAAAAGGAACACATTTGTGCAACGAGCCCTTAGATCCAGCGCCAGAACATCACCAGCCCCCTCCCTCAAGTCACTGTCCCGCCCACCTCCTCAGGGGTAATTGCTGTCCTTATAACATCCAAGATTAGTTTTCTTGTAATGGAGTCAGATAGCAGGTTTATGTTTGTAAGATTGATCCATGGTGTTGCTGATAACAGTAGTTTGTTCATTCTCATTGCTCCATTGTAGGAATAGACTACAATTTACCCATTCTACTGTTGATGGACATGTGAATCATTTCCAGTTTTTAGCTATTACATGCCTTTACACATCTTCTGTAGAACAAATCTATGTGTTTCTATTGGGTATACACTTAGGAAGAGAATTGATGGGTTATAGGATATGCACATGCTCAGTTTTACTAGACACTGCCAGTTTTCTCAAATAGTTACAGTCCATTAATTCCTTCAGTACTACGGGAGAGTTCCAGTTGCTTCCCAGACTTTAGCTGTGGTTTTCATGTTAGTCATGCTGGCAGATATGTGGCGTATCGCACGGGCTTTCACTTCTATTCCCCTGATGCTAATGAAGGTGAGCACCTTTTCACTTGCTGGTAGGCATAGAGTGGGGGGGTGGTCATCTTAATCCATTGAGGGACTGAGACCCATTGAGGGGAGGCGGTAGTTTTTAGAGGCTCAGCCTGTGGGATTTGCTCCTATCCCTGGGGTGTAACCCTCCAGATGGCAGCGGTAAGGCTGATACATTTAGAGGGCTGCCTGCCGCCACTTGTTGCCTTAGCATTGTGAGGCTCCTGGAAACTCTGCTCTGCCTGTACTTCACGGAAGAGGAAAACCTTGCAGCCAGTAAGCACGAGCAAATGCTTGACCTCACTGGTGGTAGTAAGCAGGGCGATGCTGAGTAACATACTGGAATAGCATTTCCTGTACCTCAGATGGGCAGTGATTAAAAGGTCTGAGAATACCAACAGGTGGCTCAAAATGTGGAGAAATGATAGGGCTGCCATGCCTTCCTCTCTGGAGTGTAGATTGGTACTTCAACTTGGGAGAGCGTTTTAGCAAAATCTGTAAGCATGCATTCCACTTCTAGATAAACAACTTACAGTAGCTGTTTGCACATTCAGTGCATGTTTTAAACGCTGTAAAACTTTTATTAAAAAAAAAAAATCCCTGGCCCTGCTGAGACAATCGGTCTGGGATAGAGCCTAAGAAGTCAACTTTTTAAAAAACTCTATAGCTTTTATTGTGCAACCAGCATTAAAAGAACTACTGTACAAGAGAAACTTGTACTGTGCCAAAAAGACATGTGGAAAAACGCAGAACAGCATTGTGGTAATAGAAAATAGCCTAAATGCTATCAAAAGGCTGGACAAATGAATAAATGGGTAGTTTTGACCAATGGAATACTATACAACAGTGAAAGTTCTACAAATATCAAATCAATTTGGGTAAATGTTAGGTTGAACAAAGTATAACAGGATTCCGAAGGATACACAGTATAACACTATTTGTATAAAATTAAAACCATGCTAAACAATACTATATATTGTTTATGGATATATACATATATAGTGCAGGTATGAAGAATACACAGATATGAGTACAATCTAAATTCACGGTAATGGTTACTGTGAAGAGAAGGGAGGTTGGGGATTAACAGTTAGATTATGGTAGTAAACAAGGACTGTATTTGTAATCTATTTCTTAAGCTTTATAATGGACATTCAGGTTCATATTGTTTTTTAAAGTCCTTTTGTATGTGTGTGAAATATTAGATATTTTCGGGCCGGCCAAGTGGCGTGATGGTTAAGAGCTGGCTTGGGACGCCACAGGGCCCTGGTTCGGATCCCACATATGAGGGCCAGTGACACTGCCCTCTACAGCTAAGATGCTGAACAACAGCTCAACCTGGAGCTGGGCTGCTGTGAGTCGCTGGGGACGGCGTAGGCTGCAGCCCCTGCTGCAGTGGGTTGCCATGGGCTACCGTGTGTAGCCAGCAGCCAGTGTGAGCGGCCAGCAGCCGCAGTGAGCGGCCATCCAGAAGCCAGTGACTGATCTGCCTCACCTGGAAAGAGCACAATGATGGTGCCAACTTGGGCCAGTGAAGCAACGTCCTCCACAGCTAGACTGAAGAACAAAAGGACAGCAACTTGTCTGTTCCCCTTTCCCCAATTCCCCAATAAAAAAAAAAAAACCTTTAAAAAAAATATATATATATTAGATATTTTCTTAAAAGCCAGAAAATACATGTTGGTGGGCCATTTAAAACATGAAAATTTTTTTAATCCCTTAATTGTATCTCTGAGTTTATAGTGATCTTTTCAATTAAATATGACAAAATTTCTAGTATTTGTGAATTTTGTGTTAATGTTTTCTGTTTTCTTTAGTCTTTACACAGGAAATTACGTATGATAATCTCTCAGAAAGACACATTTCATTCCTTTTTTCAACACTTCAGCTACGACCACATGATGGAGAAAATTAAGAGTTTTGTGAATTATGTGCTCAATGAAAAATCATCAGGCTTTCTAATGAAGGTATGCATATTTCAGAGACTGGTACACTTAGGAGAAATTATTATAAAGGAGAATACTTTAGAAACCCTTTAAAAACAAATCAGAATTTTATTTAGTGATTTTTGTAGAAGAATGTGACAAAATGTTACAATTAGTAAATCTAAAGGGTTAATCAGTGACCTTTGTAGTATTTTTATAACTTTTCAAAATAAGGGTTGGGAAAAATTTCTCGAACTAAAAAGTTGAAGTGGAAAATCTAAAATGAATTAAGAAGTAAGTGAAAAATATTTACTTTAAATTTAAATTTTAAAGAAAGTTTTAGAATATTTTTGGGAAAAGGATAGACTAAAATTTTTTTATAACGTTTTATTCTGTCTTAGCCTCTAAAAATTTTACCATAATATGTTATAGTAGAACATTAATTTGAGGTAGTTTTGTTTTATAATATCTGGAATTTTTATTGATTTCCTTTTAACCTTTTATCTTAAAATAATTGCCTAGAGAATACTATGTATATCAAATACATTTACAAGGAAAGACCTCCATAATGCTTACAAACCAAGCAGGTAGCGGAAGTAGCTGCTGGTGATGTCATAGTTACTGGGGAAAGTAAACAGCACAGCGCCCTTTATTGGTCTGTGAACAGACACTTTGGTTATGACTGTCAAAGAATTATTGGGTTGTCGGGAAAGTCATGACGCATTTTTGCATTGAAAAACATAGAAAAATACGTCATGACTTTCCCGACGACCCAATAGAAGCCTTAATTTAATGCTCTTTGTTTAAAATGACTTAATGCCATGAAGATAAAATGACTTAATGCCATTTTGTCTCCCACAACCCCCCTTTTTAAGGCAGCAGCAAAAGTAGTGGAAAGTAAAAGAGCAAGAACAATTTCTCAAGATAAAGCTGATGGTAGTGATACAGACTTGGAAACTGAAGCCAATTTGGATATAGGAAAAAGGTTTGTAAATTCACTGATGCGTTTTTTTGTCTTATGAATGCAATATCTTCATGTCCAAGTGATGCTAGTGAGCCATTACTACTAAGAATCATGACTGAGCAGTGGGTATATTGTCTTGCTGATGATTAACATTTGGCTATTTGGAGTATGCAGAGCTACTTCATGGCTTACGCAAAATTCTTGTTACATGTGCTAAACAAAAACACAGTGAGAACACGCACAGTTTAAGTGGGGTGAGTAATAGCATTCGCATTCTCAGGGGACCTGCTCTGGGACAGCGGTAAGGTTGGAAGCCTGAATCATCTGTGCCGCTTAGCTCTCAGACCCCACGTGACTCGTACTGTACCGAGGCTTATTCCAGCACCTTAAGACGTTGTTCGTGCATCTTTTCTAAGGGTGAGCTAACCCGCTTCGTCGGGCGCTCCACTGAAGAAATAGTTATTTGCCCCAGTGCCAGAAGGTAACCACTGTGTCAGTCGCACATATCAAGAGACAAGAGTTCAGTCTCCAAAACTATTTCTTCTTTAGGGGTTTGCAGGGGTGGTTTTTACAGAATTGATTTTTACCTTTAGCTTTGGCTTTAGAGGCTAACCCTATCAAAGATCAACTCTACCACCATGAAGATCTTGTCTCTTGAACCGATGGTCCATTCACTCTATTCTTCCATCCTTAACCCAGGGCCAAATAGTCAAATCCTGTGGGTTCTGGGAGGACGTATTTGGCAGTAGATATAATATTACTGTTTTTTCTTGGAGCCATGACTTGAGCCCTGAAGATTCCTCATCTTAACTACTTATTTAGAGGTGGGGATCGGGGTCCAAGTTAGGTGGACGTGGCTTGGGCACACCTCAGGACCGAGCCCAGCCACCTTGGAGTCAGCCTCCTGTCCCCCCCTGCCCATGACAGCATCATCGGCTACGCACTGCTTTGTCTCCCCAAAGGCTCTGTTAAAGTCCTGTTTCTCTTTGACTCAGGTTTTTCTAAGACCCATTTTGAGAAGTACAGATTTTATTTTTACTGGCTCAATTATTTCGTTTTGTTTAGGAAATCAAAATTTAGTAATACTAAGACCCAGTGCATTCTTATGGCCCAGCCTTCCTGCCCAGTGTAATGCTGCTTTAAAATAAAATTAAAATAAAACTCGTGATAATTGCAGATAACGAATACATTTCCTATGTACCCTACTTATATAGTGCCACCCACTTATTTCAGTCCCCTCCCACACAGAGGCAATGTGTGTAAAACAGAATTCTGGATGTTCTCATTTGTCTCTTGTTCACCTCACATACCCAGTTATCTCCCCTGTGAATCCCATCTCAGAAATGCCTCTCAAATCCACTCTTGTCATTTATATCCTAGATTATTACTTAGCTCTGTACCACACAGATTCATCCTTGACATGACTTCCAGAGTTAGCTTCCCATGAAAACAAATCTGTTTAAATCACTTCCCAGCTTAATAACCTCTATTGGATTTCTGTTTCTTAGTAGAAGAGTTACAATTTGTTGGCATGGCTTATAAAGCCTTACATACACTCTGTTTTTTGCCATAAACGACCTTGTCTGTGAGCATTAACCCTCTCCCTGCCCACATACATGGTACCTTCTAGCAACACAGAACTTCTCCTGATCTTGAAATGTTACAAGCTCTTTCATGCCTCTGTCCTTGCTTTAATTTTGAGTTCCCTTCTTTCTCTTCTCTCCAAGACAAGCTCTTACTTGCCATTCAAGGTCTAGCTCAGAGACCGCCTATAAGAAGCCTTAGAAGCCTTGCTGAGCTCTGATCAGAGTTGTCACTTCTGTGTTCCCGCAGCACCGAGCCACACATCTTGGATAATAATATACCTCTGCCTGTCTGCATCTCTCACTAGATTAAGAATTCTTTGGAGATTCTTAATTAGCTTTGTGTCCTGGGTGCCTAGTTCATTACCAGGCATACATTAGAACTTGTAGTACACTAGACACAGGGAGCAAAACCAAAACTAAGATCAAGATCAAAATCGGGCAACTCTCCAAACCTTCTGGAAGCAAATAGAATCGGGACAAAGAAAGCATCACATTCACCAGTTGTCAGGACAAGACTCAGGATGCACGTGAAGTAAGGCGGGGTCCTAAGTGTGGTTGCGAGGTCAGGCAGATGCCAGGAAAGGGGAAGCCCTTGTTATCAGCACTAGGGAATAAGTATTGTGTTCTGATACAGCTTATACACTGTTTGAGGCCGTAAGAATTATCGATGTGCAACAGGAACAGCAGAGATTACATAATTTGTTAAAGTTTATAGATGGACTTAAATGCTGAAGAAGTTGATACGGGACAGCTCCAAGGAAGTGTTAGCATCGAACAGGGCCTTGAAAGATAGTTGAGATTTTTGCGGCTGGGTGGGAGAGGAAGTGTCATTTCAGGAGAGAATAGTTCCAGTGAAGGCAGGCATGGAGTATAAATAGTCATGCTGTGCTGTGGAAGCCAGCTTTAATTACAGCAAAGGGAGGAATTGGTTTCAAAGTTCAGTTGGAGACTGCCGGGGAGAACAGGAAATTAAGGTAGATGGGAGAGTTTTTGAAAGAGTGACATTATGGATGCTCGAGTACAGTATAAATTGCTTGTGTTTAGGGAAGTTTTAATATCTCTAGTAAGCACATCTGGGCAAAAGTTAGCCATGTTGTAATGGACTATATATGTCCCCATGTCATCAGGGTTTCTTTCCAAAAGATATTTCTTACAAATTGAAATATTTAATAAATTGTGTGGGAAGTGCTATTGTGAAAAGTTTGTTTTATTTTTTATTACATTACAATTTTTTTCTTCTTTAAAGTGTTAATGATACACTGTCTACGGAGGGGACAGTATCCTTACTGAGGTAAAGTAAATTGGCATTTTTCTTCTGTCTTTAAAACCTTAGCAATTCTGCAGACCTAGATATGTTATAATAGCTGCCACATAAACGGTATTTAAAGACTACTGTAGGGTCCTACTAACCTCAACAGATATTCAAGACCCTGACATGTCCTGGAATTCCAAATTATAGAGTCCTGCCTCTGGGGTCCTGGGTTGTTTCACATAGTTTCTACAAGGCCATTATTGGAATACACACATAGGGAGTACCTGAACTTAAAGCAGATGTTTAGTAAACTCTGATTCTGCCACAGAAACAAGGAGGATATGCTGGGGCAGGAAGGGGTTACATTTCTAATGAATGTCCCAAATTCCGATTTTATGAAAAACTGTAATCTAGAAATGCTGTGACAGACAATACAACATGTTCAGAGAGCAGGAAGTCTGCATGAATGATTTCAGAGCTAGATCAGTCAGGATGCTGAATGGAACCGTGGGTCATTGGAAATGAGACATTGAGGGGCCAGGATGTTATACGGGTTATCCATGGAACAGTGAAGTAGTTCATGGCAATAGCAGCATTTGAGGGTGGATAAAGATCTGGGGAGATGGGAAATACGTGAGAGGTAGCGAAGGACTATGCAGAATGCTGGGTGGTGATACCCCTCAGCGCGTGAGTCCTTCAGGGCCAGCGTCTCTAGGGAAGCAGCGTCCTGAAAGTGACGTTCGTTAGGAAATGGAAAGTACAGAGAGCCACCTCGGACCCTGTAGTTCGTGGAAGGTGGAAGATTAAGTCAGTGTCTACTTGAGAAGGCCACAAAGGAGAGAAATATCCCCATGGGAGAGCTAGACAAGGAGGCGGGGGCCTGAAGAGGCTGAGGAAGGCATCCCAGAGAGCACAATGGAAAGTTTCAGAAGGGAGGGAAAGGGTTAGCAGGTTGCATAGAGCACTGGCAGGGGTGAAAGGACAGATTTCAGGAAGTGATCACATAGATGCCTAAGCCTAAATGAACTACTTTTTTCATCAGAGTTTGCTCCTTTATAAAACTGGAATAACACCGAATTTGTAGGACTGTCCAAAAATTCTGCCATATGCTGTATTTCCAAACAGCCTTAACTTTCAAAAAAGCTATAAAGATAATCAAGTGATATCTGCCATTCATGCATAAAGGAATTTTTGAATTTCTCTTTGGGGAAATAAACTTAGAAGCCATAGGAGAGAATGCAAGTTTATACTTTATAGTCTGAAGATTGTTTTTCCTTGATCTATCTAATTGAAAGACCAAAAGAATCTGGATTTCTGAGTAGATATTATAAGATGAAGAAAATACCGAGTGATGGGAGAGATGGAAGTCTGATAACAAAAGTCTTAGGAGGCCAAAGGTGAAGATGGGGCACTCGGCAAGGAAAGCACAGAGGAGACAGGCCACAGCAGACGCGGGTCCTAGAACAGAGACAAGACTAGTCATCTGCCTTTCCCCACGGCTTTTCTAGTCTTTGTGGAACCAGTCATTGGCTTTCATGTTTCATTTAGGTCTCACAAGAATCTCTTCTTATCGAACTCGCAACGGGAAAGCCACCAAGATTTGAATGAGAGAGAACCAAGAGCAGAAACGCATCCAAGTGAGTGCTCATATTGCATTTTAGAAGTGGAAGGCTGATGTGGTCTCGAAAGCAAGCCGACCCTGACCTCAGCACCACAGCACACACACACACACACTTCGGAGAGCTGGAGCACAAAGAGATGAAATGTCATGACTTCGCAGAGTAGTTAGAGGTGGTGGTTAATTTAGAAAGTTAGCTATTCGAACTGCCTCGCTTAGAGCACTTGTGCTCCAGTGGTACACTGCTTTTCTACCTTAACTTGACCAACAACTTGACATGGTTATTTATCTGAAACATAAATACAGTTGATTCCTGTTAATTCACGATAGTTCTGTTCTATACAGTCCCCGTGAACATGGCTTAGTGAAAACTGCACCATTACAGGGGCATAAATACAGGGCTAGGTTCCTGTGAGCCTCTGGTCACCTTTTTGTCAGCTGATCAGTACATAACCTTGTTTTCTGAGTTTTGTTTAAAGACACCTTATTTAATATAGTGTATTGTTGATTAATTAACATTGAACTCATGGTCAGCAGCACTGTAACTCATGTGTGCATGAAGTATGTCTAACACCTTTTCTCTAGGGAGCATCGTGGCCTCTGGCACTTAGGACACTAGACAGCACTTGCACTCCAACCAGGGCCATTTTCAACAATACTCCCAGCAAAAAGCATGAAAATGTAGCACTACATAGGCTGTGGAAAGGACAGTTATTTATGGCGTGAGTGCCAACACAAGAAGGCAGAGCTTCACCTTGTTCAGCTCTGCTGGGGGTGCACGTGAGAGGTGACTCACATTTCCTGTCCATGTCGGCTGTGATCACAAAAGCTCTGAGGATTGGCTTTGGAGTGGCAGACTTGAGTAGGTGAGGTGAATTTGCAAATACAGAATCCATGAGTAATGAGGGTTGACTATAGAATCTAGCTGCCGTCCTCATTGCATTCAGAGTTTGTTATCCTTATTAAAGGCATTGCTGGATTGATTTTAAAAAACAAGCAACAATAACCAAAAAAAAACAAAAATCTTAAAAACAGTCCATAATTATTTTCAATTATAATTTGGCCGTAAGTTCCTCCTTAGCATATATGCATTCAGCAGATGTTTATGGAACTGACCCTGTGTTCTAGGTATTGTACTAATGCAGGGATTTTTAAGCCTAATTGATCCAAACCTAAATACTTACTGATCAATATAAAAATCATGCATGTACCAACTTGATGCCAGGCACATAGTAGGCCTGCAGTAAATATTAATTGAATAAATGTATTCATAGTTGATGGCTGGTGGCATGGCCACTGTTAGCTAATATTTGTAAATTACAGCTCTAAAACATTCACATCCATAGTTATTATCATCATCCTCATTTTTAAGATGGTAAAGTTACACTCAAAGAAATATTTTGCTTCTTGTTGGTGAAGTTCCAAAATTGTTTTTCTACATCTATTGCTGCAAAATGGTTAGGAATTATAATTCTAAATTGAAATAATTTGGTTCCCTTGGCCTACTTAGGTGCCTGTCTAACTAACTACAGAAACTGCTTGGTGTCAGGAAGTAAGGAAGCCTCATACGTCCAGCAAGAAGTGCAGGGTTGCTGGGCCTGTGGCACCCTACCTCTCCTCACATGCAGTGTTCGAATGCTCTTGTTAATGTCTACGAAGAGCCCTGTTGAAATGCAATTTGCAATTGCATTGTAACAACAGATAATTTTGGAGAGAGCTGACACAATTATGCTGTCTTCCTATGCACGAATAAAAAGTATATTTATTTAGATTGTCTTATGTTTTTTCTTATAATGTAGTGTACATATACACACGTATAGTAAAGATTTATAGTTCACTACGTACAGATCTTGACCACTTTTGCTAGAGTTATCCCTAAGAATGTTATATTTTTTGTTACTGTTATAAATATTATCTTTCAGTTATTTTAATATTTTAATTGTTTGCTGCTATGTAGAGATATGCTACTAAGTTTTGTTTATTGATCTTATAACTAGCCACCTTGCTGAACTCTTTAACTCTATTTGTATATTCTTTTAGGTTTTCTATATAAAAATACTTTCAATAACTATATATATACTGTTTCTTCTCAGTTACATATACATTTATTTCTTGTTTTACTGAATTGTGCATAAGAAAGAGGGAATGAGGAAAGGGTTATACTTATACACTGTGTCAAATACTTCTTAAAAATTATCTTAAGAAAATTTCAACAATCCTTCTAGGCAAATATTATTTCTCTTTTGAACAGATGAGGAGGCAGGCTCTGGGTGGTAAGATGACTTGTTTAAAGACATACAAAAGAATCAAGATTCGAAACACACTCCTTCTCATTTTCCAGTACTGATCTTTGCACAGCACCATGCTGCTTTGAGATTCAAAGGGGAGGAAAATTAAGCACATAGAATCTTTTTCTTTAAAGTAGCTAAAAAATAAATAGGAATTTCATGGTAACCTTTAAAAATACAATTCCTCTTTTAATGTGAAACAGTTTTTGATGACTACTTCTACTTTTAGATAAAAGAAATACAGAAGAAAATAGTAGACAAGCCACTGAAAGCAAGAGAAAGCATGTTTTAAACCATCAGCGAGAAACTTCTAAAAATCATCGATCTAGAAAAAAACAGGTATGCTTATGATTTTTTAATAATACTGAACATTAAAATCATAATTTGAATAACTGATTATTTCACATCATTTCTTTTCAACCCTAAAAAAATCTTGTGTGTAAAATGTTTCTTTTTGGCCATCTTTGATTTTGTCATCTTAGATTAATGGACCAATCTGCCTATTCAAAGTTTCAAGAATATACTTTATGTGCATTTTTAAAATAGTCGTAAGTTAGGTTTTGATAATGACATTTAATTAAAATTATTGTAGGGGCCGGCTGAGTGGCTCAGTTGGTTAAGAGCTCGCGCAAGAGTGCAAGCTCTGAGCAGCAGCGGTTCGATGCCCGGCCCGAGCTGAGTTGCCACTGAGCTGCCAACAGGTGGCAGGATGGCTCAAAGAAATAAATAAATAAATAATAAAAATAATAAAATAATAAAATTGTATTACTATTATAAAGTCAGTTCATCAAATGTAAGGTGGGACTTAAATCTACATTATAAGCTTTTATATTAATATTTTCTTAATAGAGGACCAATTTAAATAGGTTCTTCTGTGCTTTAAAAAAAAGAATGAGAAACCATTTGGTATGGAATTTTTCTATTCAAAAAGTTAAGATAGGTCAGTTTTGAGACTAACTTCATTTGTTTCCCTTCTAAGTGATTATAATCCTATGCCATCTGTCCATTCTCTGAAACCATTGTTTACTGTATTTTATCTGGTTTTCTAGTTGTTTACAGTAGATGGATAAATCTGGCCCTTGTTCTATCATGGCTGGAAGTGGAAGGTGATTCTATACTTTTTTTCTTACTCTATTTAAGATGAGCATTTTTTTTTTTTTAAGATTTTATTGGGGAATTGGGGGAGGGCACAGCATTGGGGAACCGGGGAAGGGGAACAGACAAGTTGCTGTCGTTTTGTTCTTCAGTCTAGCTGTGGAGGACGTCGCTTCACTGGCCGATGTTGGTATTATCATTGCACTCTTCCCAGTTGAGGCAGATCAGTCGCCGGCCATTGGACGGCCACTCACGGTGGCTCTTGGCAGCTCACGAAAGCGCATGCCCGCTGCCAGCCAGCCCCACTGCAGCCTATGCCATCGCCTCACGGTAGCCCAGCTCCAGGTCAAGCTGTTAGTCACCATCTTAGCTGTAGAGGGTGCAGCGTCACTGGCCCCCATGTGGGATCCGAACTGGCGGCCCTGCTGCTCAGAGCTGGTGTCCCAAGCCAACTCTTAACCAACGCGCCACTCGGCCGACCCATGCATTTTTTTCTTGATAACTTTTTTGCAGATGGTTCATGTTGAGATTTTAGAGCTAGGGCTGAGGTCCAGGCTACTAGGAAGATTTCCTGTGACTCAAGCTTGTTTGGCCTTGCCTTCTCTCCCCATGAGCATCACAAGCAGCTCCTTTTGATTTGCTTCCTGCACATCTTGCTAATCTGTGTGATTCCTCATGTAGTCCCACCACCTCTGTTTCTGGAGCTGCTGCAGATTGCGGGAGGCTCTTGCTGGTGCAGCGAGGGGTTGCGGGTGTGCACAGCGCAGGAGGGGCCCCTCATTTGGAAAAGTGAACCCCCCAGGCTGTCAGATCTGGAAGCAGAGTGCCTGTGCCCTGCTTCACGTACCTTGTCTCAGTTCCCACTGAGCATGAATCCCTCCCACCTAGATTATGGTTCAGGTCATAAGGGTCTTCTGAGGTTATCAGGGGTTGGGATTCTTTCTTGTTGCTGTTGGGTGAATTCCCCGAGGAGAATAGGGAAGTACTATTCTTATACCACTAAAAGTCTCATGGTTTTTTGTCTTTGATTTCCTTTGTCTTTTGATTTTCCGTACTGTGAATGTGATGTGCCAAGGTGCTTATCCTACTTTGTGTTTCTGAGCTTCCTGGATCTGTTTTGGTGTCTGCTATTAATTTTGGAAAACTCTCAGCCATTGTTACTTTAAATCTTTATTCTATGCCTTATCTCTTTTTCTGGTGTCCCATTACGTATATGTTACACCTTCTGTAATTGTCCCATAGTTCTTGGCTTTTTTTGTTGGTTTTGTTTCTGTTCTTTTTCAGTTTGGGAAGTTTCTGTCAATATTCCTTCGAGCTCACCGATTCTTTCTTCATCTGTGTCTAGTTGATGATGAGCCCGTCAAAGACTTCTTCATTTCTGTTACTGTTTTGTAGATTTCTAGCTCTTCCTTTTGAGTCTTTCTGAGGGTGTACATCTCTGCTTTCATTTACCCATCTGTGTTTACCTGTTGTCCACTTTTTCCACTAGAGCCCTTGGCGTATTGATCATAGTTATTTTAAATGCCCACTCTGAGAATTCCAAAATCTCTGCCATAGCTGAACCTGATGCACTGTGCCTCCTGATTGTGTTTTTCACCTTTTAGTGTACCTTGTAATTTTTGCTGATGGCTGGACATGATGTATCAGATAAAAGGAACTGAGGTTAAATGGCCTTTAGTGGGAGGTTTTATGTCTGTCTGGTGAGGAGTTATGCTTTCTTTACTGTTTGCTGTTGCTGTAGGTGTCCGGGGCTAACATTTCCTTGTCTTTATCTCCCTTGTTGTCTTTGGATTTCCCCAGAGACCCTTCTTAGTGAGGGTCCCAGGTAGCTCTTTCAGCTGAGGCGGTGCTTATACAGGAGCCTGAGTAACGTGGTGGCAGGATGGGGGAGGGGAAGGGAAGCGTCTGTGGTTCTGCGACTGTCTCATTCTTTGAATGAGCCTGTGTCCTGGGCTGAGACCTTCAGAGGCACTGCTCAGCTTTTGTCCCCTTTTGGGTGAAACAGGAAGGCTAGAGGGGGCGGAAGCTGGGTGTTTCTACGGGTCAGTTAGGCTCTGGCAAAATCACTTTCTCTTGAGAGCAGGCTTCTGTCAGTGAGAACGGAATGCCCCGGATGTGTGTCAGAATGGCTGCTTTTCCCCTCCCCGTTAGAAGAAGGGGGAGATTTTTCCCCCATCTGCACCCTGAGAACCTGGTGGGGCTTTGGGAGGTAGAACTCACAGAAGCTGGTTGGCCCCGCTGAGTTTGGGCCCCTCGAGTTTTGTAACTGAAGCTTGTCCACAGCGAGCCTGCATCGGTCCGTCCATCACAGCTCAGTGCCTCTACCTGTACTGGCTCCAGCTGAGAGCCGCTCCTGACAAGCTGTGACTCCCTGTGTCCACCCATCTGTCGTCATAGTTTCCAGGGCAGCACTCTGCCCTGTGACGTTAATTCTCTGATGGATCTAGGAAGAGTTGTTGACTTTGTTCAGATTTTGTCTTGTTCTGAGGACTGGAGTGATATTTCCAAGCTCTTTATGTACTGGTCCAAAACCCAAAGTCTCTGCCTCGTACTTTTAATTGATTTTCCCCTGTAGTCCTTCTGGCAACAATTCCAAACGGGATTGTAGGTGTCATTTATGGATGTATTCGAGAAAACAATTTCTCTCTCTTTGTATTCAAAACAAACCGTGGGATATCAACGACATAGTTTAAAGACTAGAATATGGGTGCATTGTCTATCACTGTTTACTGCACCAAAAAAGGATTCTGTGGGTATCACTGGTGACTGGTTTTAGTTTTAGCTTTCAACTTTTGGCTTTTGGTGGGACAACTTGTTTCAGATGCGTGACAGATTGTGTCTTATTTTGTGTTGAGATTTGGGTTCTTTAAAGCTTCTTTTGTAGTCGTCTGCCTGGCTGGACGGTTCCTCCTTGCTGCATTTGTCTGTTAAACAGACAGGTATTTCTGCTTGCCTCGTCACAATTTAAAAAGAGACTTCCTTTTGTAAATTTATTCTAGTCAAGAAAAGTAAATTTCTTTCAACAATAAAGACTTTTTTCCATAGATGTCGTGTACTGGGGGCTACTATAGGACTATTTTTTTTAGGGTAAGTGGTATCATTTTTAAGGCATTATAAAGTATTGGTTTTTTTTCCTCTAACAGGCATTTGAAATGATCAAATATAAGTTATATAAACTTTTCAACTTCAGGAAAGAAAAGGATTCTTGTGTTTTAATTTATTGTGTGCTCTTTGTATTTTGGGGGGATTATGGGCATGGCTAGGGTTTTTAGGATTTTGTATTGATTCTGTTTTCAATTTTTCAAGAAAAGCAAAAGACAAGAAAATATCACAAAGGACACGGTTTTTGTGTATGTCCTGAAATATATCATCTTAAGCTCTTTGTTAACTACGTGTCATTGCAAATGGAATATAGTAAAATAAGTTAAATGTATAAAATGAAGAAATGAAGAGTTTTAAGAAAAAGAACAGACTTAATGAAATTTTATACCCTTGTGTTTTCTTTCTGATCTGATGCTGATAAGCTCATTGTGTCACTCAGCTCCATCTATAAAAAGTGGGAGTTGACCTCTTTAAACTCTAAACTTTTAAAGAATATAGTTATTAGTTGCTATGAACACTTGTTCCATAGGATGTTTTTCAAGACTATTTACCTTTAAATCATAGATAAAATTAAGCAAAGACTGTAAAAACATTCAGATCTAACTAAATAAGGCGTAATCAATCACAAAGTAACAATATATCCTTAGGGTTTCTCTTGTTTAATAGAAGAAAAAAATTGAATACTTAAACACTGTAGTTTTCAGTTAACCTTTACTGACAAAATTGTAACTTTCTCCTAGGTCAAAGGTTGACAGACCTTTTCTGTAAAGGGCCAGGCAGTGAATATTTTAGGCTTTGTGAGCCACATACAGTTTCTGTCACAATTTTTTCTTTTTCAGAAACAACTTTTTCAAATGTAAAAACTGTTTGTCAGCTCCTGGGCTGTACAAGCTATTTTGGCAATAGCTTGCCAACCCCTGCTGTGTGTGATCCCTGGAAAATACTGCTTAAACCTTTGCACCCAGGAACCAAATAAATAGGATTCATATTCATACAGAGAATAGTTATTTCTTGAGAGAAATGGGCTTTCGTATTGCATCAGATGTCATCTGTGCTGTCTGTTAAAAGCAGTATAGCTCAGATTAAAACAAGAAAACAGTGCTGTTTTATGAAATTTACATAAGCCGAAGACTACATTTTAAAGCTGAATATAAATGTGTGGCAACTTCTTACACAATAGATATTCTCTGGGGGTCATAAAATTGATAAGCTTTTTCAGGGGAGTCTAAGTGGCCCCCAAAATTTCATGTAAAATTTTATAGACCATCACTTACTCTGAAGTGGATCAAAACAAGTGAACACTCAAGGTTCATCTATGCTCTAGTGTGTACCCATAGCTTTCATCACTTTCTCAGAGATTTATATGGCCCCAAAGATTGATAACCCCCTGCTGAAGTACTTTTCATCAGTAAGTCCACCTCCTTTGCTTTAAACTCCTCACCACACACGTGCCGAAGTGACATCTCGTGGTTTTGTGTTAGTGACAGCCAGTGTGGAGCGGCTGTGTCGGGGCGGTGACTGGGAGGGAAGTGGGCTGGGTGGGTCAGTACAGGAGGTCACAGGAGGACATCCGTGTCGTCAAGAGATGGAGTAGATGTGCACCTGGTAGGCAGCACAGCTGCTGGTAGGCGGCAGCTCACACAGCCTCGCCTACAGGGGGTTGATCATGGTCACTGCCAGTTTGACGCATTTACATAAGACAGCTGTCACCTCATGTTTGTTGCCTTCAAGCCACCTTGGATTCTTTTTTCATAGTGCATCAGACAACTGAGGTAGGGTTTTTCTTTAATTGTAGTAAAACACACATAACAAAAGTTACCATCTTAACTGTTTGAAAGTGTATAGTTCAGTGGCATTAAACACATTCACATTGTGGTGCAAGCAATCAGCAGAACTTTTTCATTTTGCAAAGCAAACTATACCCATTAAACAACTCCCAATTTCCTCTTCCCCGCATTCCCCATCATTCTGCTTTCTGTTTCTATGAGTTTGGCTACCCTAGGGAGCTCATGTAAGTGAAATCATACAGCATTTGTCTTCTTGTGACTGATGGATGGATTTTTAATGAAACAAAGTTGGCTGGGGAATGTCATCCTTGTTTAAACTGTCAGTCACGCAGATGGCCACACTGCTACTTCAGCATGGCGCCAGAAGGCGTGATTAGCTGGTCACCTGTAGCAAATATGCAGTTTCTGTGTATGACACTGATTTGATGTTTACAAAATTTTTAGTCATTTTCTCCAAAAATAAAATAGTATAGTTTTAACTAATTTGTGTTACTTATGTTTTCAAACACCTATTTTTATACAGATTTGAGTTTTACTTGTATGTGTGCTTTGTCCAACATAGGCAGGATTTTCACTGAGTTCATTCATGAAATTAAATATTCATAAATTGTTTAGAGATAGGATTAATAAATACCAATCTATTAACAATTGTAGAAAAGCATCTTAGGAGACTGTGTGGGCTTAAAGTTAGACAAATTGAGGAATTGGGTTAGTGTTTAGCTCGGTCACTTTTTAGCACTCTGACCTCAAGCAGCTGAGCCGTAGTACACAATGTACTATGTAAAATGAACAGTAATAGTAAGGGCCCTTAAAATGTTATTATAATAAATATGGGATCTTACACAAGCCTAAGAAATATACACAGAAATTCTCCCATCTTTAAGAAACTAATATCTTAATGAAAAAAGTTACATATATAGTACATATGTTCTTTAAAAAATTGTTTCTGTGGGGCCAGCCGAGTGGCACGTTGGTTAAGAGCTGCCTTGGGACGCCAGCTCTGAGCAGCAGGGCCCCGGTTCGGATCCCACATGAGGACCAGTGATACTGCCCTCTACAGCTAAGATGGTGAACAACAGCTCCACCTGGAGCTGGGCTGCTGTGAGTCGCTGGTGATGGCGTAGGCTGCAGCCCCTGCTGCAGTGGGCTGCCATAAGCTACCGTGTGTGGCTGGCAGCCGGTGTGAGCTGCCAAGAGCTGCTGTGAGCAGCCGTCCAATGGCCGGCGACCCATCTGCCTCAGCTGGGAAGAGCTCAATGATAATACCAACATGGGCCAGTGAAGCAACGTCCTCCACAACTAGACTGAAGAACAAAAGGACAGCAACTTGGTCTGTTCCGATTCCCCAATAAAATCTTTTTAAAAAAAATAAAAAAATAAAAATTGTTCCTGTGAAGAACCGTTCTACTTTTTATATACTTTTGATGGATGTTGACTAGACTTATTCTGGTGATTATTTCACAATATATACAAATACCGAATCATTGTGTTGTACACCTGAAATTAATATGTTATATAGCAATTATACCTCATTAAAAAATATAAAGACTTGTCTCTGTGAATAACTTCTGTTTTTTTATCAAAAGGCATGGCTTTGGGAAGAAGATAGGAATCTGAGATCTGGCGTGAGGAAATACGGAGAGGGAAACTGGTCTAAAATACTATCACATTATAAATTCAACAATCGAACAAGTGTCATGTTAAAAGACAGATGGAGGACTATGAAGAAACTGAAACTGATTTGCTCAGACAGTGAAGACTGATGTGTTTGTAAAAAGCCTGGTAAAAGGACAGTTACATATTTTGATCATTGTGTTTTGTTTGAAACTTGGTGGTCTTTGGTGTATCTTAAAATTGTTATTGAAAGCATTATAGTACTTTTCTGTGGCACAGTCATTTAATGAACAGAGGACTTGTGCTATAAGAGTAAGATGATATGCCATCATTATATTCTTTAAGAACCTTGTTTACTTTCATGAAATGTAGATTTCTTGAACCCTGATGCTTTCAGTACCTCTACCTCCAACTCCTGTACCAATAAAAACGTGAAAACCTGGTAAGAGTAAAACTATATTTCTCTTAACCTATTCTTAGGTTCATAGGCTGACTTCAACTCCACAGCACACACATAAAAGTAATGTTTCTAAATCAATGAATGGTAATAGGCCTTTAACATAAGAAGTAATGATTTATGGCCTTGATGTATGAAATTATTAAAACATTTGTTTATAAAATGATAAATGTACAAAGTAATCTTTGAGTTTTAACATACTTAAATTTTCCTTTCAGTAGTTTCATGTAAAGGAGAATAATAGAAATACCTCTAGGACAAAATTTGTGCTATCACCAAGAATCACTTTATGTCACATTTAGGTCCATTTGACCTTTGTTCCAGTGTTAAAACCTTGTCAAAGATGGTTTTAAATAAAGCTTTATAACCTGGTGCCATAAATATCATCTTCTTTGACATTTTTAACATATCAACAGTGTACTTAAATGGTCTGTAAATGCTTACATTGTTAACATTATAAATCATTTTCTCATCTGTGATAAATCTAAATAAGCAAGTTCATACACACCTTTGAGTTTTCACCAGCATTTTATTCTTTAGAGAATTTAGTCAAAAACTAAAACAGATATTTAGCATGTTGAGTTACATGTGCTTTATTCAACAATTGAGTGAAAACACTGATGTATTTGCATAAAAAGTTAAATGATAGTATTTGTCATTTGTATTTCATTTCTTACTGCATTATACTTCCCATTGTGCCTGAATTTATTGTCCTCTACATATAGTAAACAGAAATGTGGGTAATTACTGAATGCCTCCTGACTCAGTCTGTGCTGTTACACCCCCACTTGCTGTCACTGTTTATTGCAGACTTATTATTTATTTTTTTATTTTTTAGCTGAGCATTTTGATGGCTAGTGCAAAAGCAGGCGGCGTGAGCCAGAATGGACCTGTACGTCAACCTTATTTCAAACCTGCCATAAACCATCAAACCTCAGTTGCCATTAACTGTAAGATGCTCAATTATTGTATGTGCCACTGAAAAAGATCACTGTCAACTACAGTATGGTGCTTATTTAGAGTTTTCTTCTTTTTTTTTTTAAAAGATTTTATTGGGGAATTGGGGAAGGGGAACAGAAAGGTGCTGTCCTTTTGTTCTTCAGTCTAGTTGTGGAGGACGTCGCTTCACTGGCCCAAGTTGGCACCATCATTGCGCTCTTCCCGGGTGAGGCAGTTGCTCACCGGCCATTGGACTGCCAGCCCTAGAGTTTTGTTTTACTTATTAAAAGAGCTGTTTTAGATTTAATTAAAACAGATTTTTATTATATGACTTGTGGGTACATAAAAAAGGTAAGCAAAATTACAGAGAGGTTCCTTGTACACTGGTTCCAGTTTTCCCCAATATTAATTTGTAAAACTACAGTGTATTGATATTGATGCAATCCACCAATCTTATTCAGATTTCCCCAGTTTTGTACTCTGTGTGTGTCTGTGGGGGGGTGTATTTAGTTTTAAATGACCTGTGTAGGTTTATGTATCCACCACCACAGGCAAGATACTAAACAGCTCCAACGCCAGATCCCTCCTGTTAGGACTCGTCTCCCTCTTGCATCATCCGCCAACCCCTGGCAACCACTAATCCGGTCCCCATTTCTAAAATTTAATCATTTAAAAATGTTACGTAGAGAGTGACGTCACCAAAAATGGTGGAGTAGAGAGCTCCAAAAATTCTGAAGCAACTGTTAAGCTGGCAAAAGCTATTAGAGTCAATTTTTGAAACTCTGGAATCTAATGAAAAAGCAACCAGGGAGTGAGTACATTATGAGAAAAGAGCCCACTGAATTCTGGGAAGATGATTTTGGTGCCTCTGCTTGCTCTGCTTGTGAGGACAGCCGCCCGTTATTTGGTGCCGCTTGATGGTGCCAGAGGGGACAGCGCAGGCCTGGTACTCACAGGATGGTGGTGTGTGTGTTGACCTGCCTGGCAGTTCCCTGACGGGTTAATTCAGAGGTTTGCCCTTGTTTAGTCCCCTCTGAGCGCTCTGGGCTTTGTAAACAGCCTACAAGCTGCGGACAGACCAGATGTCCTGGGAAGGAAAAGACGTGGGGTTAGGGCTTTGAAGGCCTCGAAAGGCCAGGGCACCTAGAAGGCCACGCACATGCTCCGAACCGGCCAGTCTCAGAAAGGGCCTGGAGGCCCAAGGCCTCCACCTTTGAACAATCTTTGGGCGGCACGCATGCTAGAGGTGAAGGCTAAGGCAGCGTTGGAGGGCGCCTGGCTAGGTAGTGGTGTACCCCAACTCAAAGCCAGCCTGCAAGGCTGTGAGAGGGTCTTGTTTTTGTGACTTGAGGCATTTAAGGAAATTCAGTACTCTGTATTCTTTGTTGTTTCTTTCACTCAATATACGTCATACGTAGCTGTAGCCTGTTCATTTTCTTTTCTGTACAGTAATGTGTTGTATGATTATAGCACAGTTATTTACGTGTTATGCTGTTGAGCGTTTGAGTTGTGGGAATACATGAAGACCACCCAAAAATGAGAAGAAACAGGCTGTTGACTCAGAGTTTGCTGTAGCAAGGGGGTCAGCACCATCGCCAGTGTTGGGCAGAGATCTCCAGGGGGAGCGCTTTGGAGTGAAAACCTGAGAAGGCTCAGGCCAGCCCCGGCCGGAGCTCGTTGGCCTGAGGAAGCTGCGGGCTGGCCAGCGAGCAGCAGGCATCTTGTGTGCTTGCTTTGGCTTTCTCTCGTTGGTTCTGAGATGGAAGTGGGGAGAAAAATTCAGGAAGCTGGCGGTCACCAACCAAGTCCTGATGTTCTGGGTGGATTGCTGTAGAGGTTTGCCTTGGCATCCTCACCTGTTTGCTGCAGAGCTCGTGGGTCAGTTTGCTGTCCTACAAGGTCTGTTTGTTGTTGGTTTGTATTCAGTCTCTGAGTTGTTCCCAGTCTATGGCTGCAAAGACTTTGCCAGTTTAATGCAGTGTGATACGAAGACGAATAACTCTTAAACTGAAAAGTTAGGTATGACATTCAAACCCCTAGAGCGCCCATTTAAAAGAATACAAATTGAGAGCCAATCGGTATTAAAAATTATTCAAAGAAAGCAAAAGGTGGGGTGAAAGGAAGCAGAAGCAAACAAAGCCACAAGGACAAACAAACAAACAAAAGGTACACCTGAACCCAGTCACATCAATAGTTAACATTAACGGTGATGGTCTTAAGCCAGAGGATGGGCAAACTTCTTCTGTAAAGGACCAGATACAATATTTTAGGCTTTGCGAGCCATTCAGTCTCTTTCAACTTGGCTTGAAATTAGCCACAGACATAAATATGTAAATAGATGGGCATGGCTGTGTTCCAATAAAACTGTATTTACAAAAACACACAACCATCAAGATTTAGCCTGTGGTTTGCTGACCCTTGCCTTTTGAGTTCTAGATTTAAAATTTCACGAATTTGTCTCAGGGTGGGTTTTGTTTTGTTTTTTTAATTCATCTTGTTTGGTGCTCCGTGGGCCCGCCCCACCGCAGGAAGAATGGTTGTCACCTCTGATTCCACCTTCTTTTCTACATATTTTAAAGGGTATGGTCCCTCCATTCCGGTCTGTCCATCAGTAGAATCCTATTTTCTTTCAGTCTTCAGAAAAGTTCTTCAAAACCTCTGGGCTGATTTCCACCCTTCCCCCTTCTCATCTGTTATGAACCTATTCTCTCTTGTGAATCCTGCAACCTCAGTGGCATTTGGGGAAGGAGAGAGGGTAAACGTGTGTCCATGTCACCTTGACCTAGAAATTTCCCTTCTCTTTTAATATGCTCTTCATCTGATATGCTTATATCTCAAGTCTTTGCTTTCTACATCAACTTGTAGTCATATGTATGACCCTTCACGAGGGTATTCTTAGAAGGCAGAACCTGGTTTATTTTGCTGCTTTTTTGTGCATACCTAGAAGAGATGGCTAATTAAAATTTTTATGACAGAAGTAAACAATAAATGATTGCTTACAACATTCTTGAATAAAAACATCCCAAGAAAGATCCTAAAAAAAAAAAAAAAGAATAGTGTCATTATAGTTCTTGTTCCTTTTTCTACTTTTTTTTTTTTTTTTTTTTTTTTTTTTTTTTTTTGCTTTTCTAAATGAGCACCATCCCTAATATCTTTACCCTTCTCTCCTGAGTGGGTATATTTATTTTTGTTCAAATTACTTTCCACATGCACTTTTTAAAATCAGTCTATTAAGTAATTCTAGGGTCCGTCAATCATTGCATATAGTACCTGTGGAAAGGACCCGAACTCTAAGGTGCTTGTTAAAAAGGAATACTGCAGGGCCGGCCGAGTGGCGTGATGGTTGAGAACTGGGTTGGGACGCCAGAGGGCCCCGGTTCAGATCAGGGCCAGTGACACTGCCCTCTACAGCTAAGATGCTGAACAACAGCTCAACCTGGAGCTGGGCTGCTGTGAGTCGCCAGCGACAGTGTAGGCAGCAGCCCCTGTGGCAGTGGGTTGCCATGGGCTACAGTGTGTAGCCAGCAGCCAGCGTGAGCGGCCAGCAGCCGCAGTGAGCAGCTGTCCAGAAGCCGGCGACTGACCTGCCTCGCCCGGGAAGAGCACAATGATGGTGCCAACTTGGGCCAGTGAAGCAACGTGCTCCACAACTAGACTGAAGAACAAAACGACAGCAACTTATCTGTTCCCCTTCCCCAATTCCCCGGCACTATTCCCATCCCCCCAATTCCCCAATAAAAATTTAAAAAAAAAAGGAATACTGAAGAGGTCTGAAATACTTTGGTATTTATCTTTAAAAATAAAAACCTTTGGTTCTTCATTCATCACTTGGACTACATGTTTCAGTTTTGAACTGTTTTCCTTGGGCTTTCTTAGAATTCATAACAAGCATTTCAAAACCATTATTTAATAGTTAAGTCTTCCAGCCTATATGAAATGCTTCTCAAATATAGAAATCATAAAACTATACTTCAGTATGAAACTAATTAACGACCAGGCACTAAAAATAAATGCATATGGTGAAAAATTGATTTTATGCAACTGAAATATGTGGAATGTTTTAACACATATTGGAACCATAAATGCATCATAGTTTTATTGCTGTTGGTCATCATACCGATAGCTATGAATTCTGAAGGATTTTTTTGTTTTGTTTTTGTGAAATTCTGTTCATTCTCTGACCAATCCAGAAAATTTGGGTCTTTTCTAGTCAAACAAGTAAAAGGCTTTTAAAAATGTTTACAGAAAGTTTATTTACTGGTATAAAAATTTTAAGTCACATTGAAAATTACCCAGGTATATTTTCAAAACTCTTGCTTTACAGATGTCAAAAATGGTCTTAAAATATTAATGCTGACCTTATCATTGAAGCTCTTAACCTTGATGAGACTCAGATTTTTTATTATTAATTTCTGAATAATTTACTACACAAAAAATTCTGACAGTTAAATGAATATATAGTCACAAATACTGCTACTCTCAGCATTAAATATTGGAGACTTTTCCATCCCTATTAAGCTTGCTATGGTCCTTCTGTCATTACATACGTACTGAGCAATATATATTTTAATAAATCATTTGTTAGTGAATAATATTTTATACAAATGAAACTGAAGGAATTTCATATAGTTTAAATCTTAAGATCCACTTCTCCAAAGAAAATATCCTGAATTTAAAATTTGTTTCAAAAATGAAGAGGGCTTAGCTTTTTACAGCACAGTCATTGGCATAGTAAAGCTTTTCATCAAAGCTGAGTTCTGGACGAGAAGCCTAGATTTGACTCTGTGGCTTACTTACAGAATGACTTGTCACCCCAGATTCTTACACAAGCCACTTTGTCTCCGGTTCATTCATTTTCCAATCATAAAATAAGGAAACTACGACCAGCCGAGTGGTTCAGTTGGTTAAGAGCTCGCTCAAGAGGTTGAGCTGTTGGGCCGGCCGAGTGGCGCGATGGTTAAGAACTGGCTTGGGATGCCAGAAAGCCCCGGTTCGGATCCCACAGATGAGGGCCAGTAACACTGCCCTCTACAGCTAAGGTGCTGAACAACAGCTCAACCTGGAGCTGGGCTGCCGTGAGTCGCCGGCGACGGTGTAGGCTGCAGCCCCTGTGGTAGTGGGCTGCTATGTGCTACTTTGTGTAGCCAGCAGCCAGTGTGAGTGGGCAGCAGCCGTCCAGAAGCCGGCGACTGGTCTGCCTCGCCCAGGAAGAGCTCAATGATGGTGCCAACTTGGGACAGTGAAGCAATGTCCTCCACAATTAGACTGAAGAACAGAACCACAGCAACTTGTCCAAGTTGCTGTCTGTTCCCCTTCCCCCAATTCCCTGGCACTGTTCCCATCCCCCCAATTCCCCAATAAAAATCTTAAAAAAAAAAAAAGTTTGAGCTCTGAGCAACAGCGGTTCGAGTCCAGCCCGAGCTGAGCTGCCAACAAGTGGCAGGATGGCTCAGCTAAAAAAATTAAAAAATAAGGAGACTAATACTTGTGTGCATGTATGTGTGTGAGATCATAGCATTTGTAATACAATCTCTACCTTCTTAGAATCTATACTTTTGCCTTCTACCCCAAACATAAGAAAATGTATGCTATAGAGAAAAGCAGTAAGTTTACTTCAACTAAACTTGACATTGGACTCTGAAAGATTATTTTAGTCAGCTCCAGGCTTTAACCTTGGAAATAATCTTAAATGCTAATGATGGTAGAATTTTCATCATTAAAGCAGTTGTTCCATTCGTTGCTGCCAAAATTTCTCTTCATGGAAAGTATAACATTTAAAGGAACTCACTGACCTCGAGTGAACATTTGATCTTTTCAATTAACTGAATACTTGCAAAAAAAATTGTTTTAGCATAGCTCTTGGTTTTTTTTATTACAAAATGCTTATTGAATCTTTAACAACTTGTCCCGTGGAAAATTATTTGTGACAACTGGCTTGAAATTAATTATTTCAGAATTTGTGGACTAATATGTGGGGAAGGTACTGTGAAAGTGTACATATATCTGCATACATCTTTAAAGCGAGAAGTTTTGAAGATTACAGAATAGGAAGAAAATAATGCAAGATTCAGAGTGTGCATACCCTTAAATGACAACTTATTTACCAATAAATGAACCATGCTGTAGTCATTTTAATGCAAATAGACATGTATTTTGTGGCCCATGGGCCACCTGTTGAATGAGAGGATTCTATATGAAAGATCAAGGCCACAAAACCATAGGAGACTTCAGGGTGGGTCTTCAACTCAGTAAAAATAAAAATAAAGGCACTGTGTTTCTTGAGAACCGGCCCCTAAATTTTCTTTCTCCGCTTCAGAGTGTAGCAACGATGTGTTCAGGATCTTGGCCAAATAGGTTTTTGGACGGTTTCTGAAGCGTTGAACATGACTTGGTAATATTTAGCATATTTACAAACACATTTTGAAATATTGACCTCACAATCTATATGAATATGAAACTGTGAACAGCTGGACAAGAGCACTGGTCTACTCGCCGAACTTTTTTCCAAGTCCCTTGACATCGAGGATTGCCGATTGCTTGCCAATGGAGAGTTTGATTTCTGAAACAATATTTTAGAAATGTTACGCTACAAGCAAACCAAAGAAAATTCAAAATTACAAAATTATACATTGATGTTTTCTTATAAAATGTTATACGTGGAGTTTTGAAGAACACTAAATGGAAATTTTTAAAAAACGATCACAAACCGAGTTTCCTTTCTTTGGGTTCTAGCAACACAAGTTACCAATTAATCCCTATTTGAGGGCACCCTTATACTGAGAGAGTAGCCTGAGGCCCCTATATTCATTACTGTCACTTGACGTAAACATATGAGGTACTACATAAAAGAAAATGGCTTCCTGTTTTATGTACATTTAAATGAGAGGGGTCTGAACCAAATCTCTTATAATCCTTTCCAACTCTTTGATTCCATAATGAGAAAAAATGGGGAGTCGTGGAAAGAGCAAAGCCAGATTATTGAAATTATTATTTAAAGTCACTGAACTTCAGCCAGAGCTTAAGGTACTTTATGGGTACAAATTAAATTATAAGTTCATTTAAAGTCAAAATATAGATGAGGCATTCAGAAAAATAATAAGTCTAAATATTAAGTTTCTATTTCATATGAATTCCTTACCCACTTTACTGTTCATATGGTATACTCAATACCAAGGCTGTTAGGCACAAGTGACTAATAAACGTAAATTCAAGTTATTAAACATTAAAATATACTGTGGGAATAATGAGTACCTGGAAAGGTCCATATTTTCCTTTCTAGTCTGTATTTTTTACCAGTTCCATCTGACTGACTTAAAACCGTAATCCATGCCCAGCACGAAGTCTACCCTTCTCTTATAAATACTGTTAGCAGATTTAACTCATAAATGAGTACAGGACCAGAATAGCTTTTTAGGGTGGTAAAATGTTTTCCAAGGTCAGTTCTTTTGGACAAGCTATAGATTTCTATAGGTTTTATGACCCTGCAAAGCTGAGCCCACCACTGTCTCAGCCATGAGTTCTATGGTGACCCCACTGAGAGGGGCTCTGAAACTTGACTGGGCACGTGTCATCCAGGCAGGGATGACTACCACCCGTGTGTGGGCCAAAGCCAGCCCACCCCCTGCTTTTGTGGAGTCTGAGTTAAGAATGATTTTTACATTTTGGAAGAGTTGCAAGAAAATCAAAAGAATATGAAAACTCAAATTTGAATTTTAGTGTCCATTAATACAGTATTATTAGAACAAAGCCAAGGTCACCAGTTTACATAACGCCTATGCCTGCTTTCATGGTATGATGGCAGGGTTGAGTAGGTGTCCCAGAGACCATGGGGCCCCCAAAGTCAAAAATATCTATCACCCGGCTCTTGATAGAAAATATTTGCTGACCTCTCACCTAGGAGAGTGTTTAAAATCCATCCCCAAAGATTCTCATTCAGATGGGGATCAGAAACCCGCACATTTTTAATCATCCCAAGGTGCTCTGACTCAAGTGGTCTTGGAACACTGCTTTTGGAGAGCTCAGTCTTTGGTGGTCATTTGGGAGCTTGGTCTGAACCCCAGTCTCCACATTCACCCACTCGTCTCTGGTATACAGAGCCCAAGTCCCACAGTGTGAACCGGGTCCTGGACTGGCTTAGACCAGGGGTCGGCAAACTGCGGCTCGCGAGCCCCATGTGGCTCTTTGGGTATGTACATGTGGCTCTTAAGTAACATTGAAAATGAAAATAAAACTACCCTAGTTTCATTTATAAACATTTTAAAGGGAATTTACATAATGGTGATTATGTAAAAATATATTTATGGCTCTCGAATAATTTTTAAATTGCTGTGAGGGACAGGATTGGCTCTTCCAGGGGTTGGCAAACTTTTGAGACAGAACCTACCCAAAGAGCCACAGTCTGCCAACCCTTGGGCTAGACAATAGGTTCTCGTCACTTACTGTTTTGACTCCCCAAGTCAGGCCTCGATATTCTACACACAGGTCAGCTGTTCAGGACATGGAGAGGAGAGGACAGCTCTCTCCAGATGAGGAACAAAAGAAGTCCCTCAAGCCATTTCCCTCCCTTACCCGTCCGAGTCCAGGCCATCTCCAGAGCAGCGGAGGCTCACGGAGTTCATAGCCGGAGGCTGACAGTCGACACACACCGTGTACCCCTCTCGGATGTACTGCATCCAGCGAGTCAGGGGCCGGTTTTCCATGGTACAGTGATGGGTCAGGGACTCGGTCTTGAACTCCATACAGTATCTAGGGCAAAAGAGGAACAGTGTCACTCACTGTAATTAGAGGTGGCTTAACGCTATAGAAAGTCTTAGGAAGCTTGTCATCCCCAAGAACAGCTGACAGACTGGAGGAAGTAATGCAGTGCATCTTCACAGGTCACGCATCAGTCACCGACCGCCCTGTAAAGTCCCTCTCATTCGCTATACTTTGACCATGTCCAGATGACATCTACAGGGAAGCTTGGTGCTCTTTTTCAACCCATGATTGAATTGCTCGGTCAACATGAATTTGCAGAAATTTGGATATCCCATATCTGTCTAGTCTGACCACTAAAGTGTATACAAAAGCACATTTCAGTAGGAAACTAGCCTGTGATAACTTTGCTGATATTTTAATGAATTATGTACATGGAACAAGAACTTGCCTGGTGTCTGAGAACATGTGAGTCCCAGGAGGGCTAACCTGTGGCACCCAGCACAGCACCCAAGCTTTTCTGCCCTATAGACACTCCCAGGGATCTTCCCTACACTGCCCACGCAGCTCACCTGCGTCATCTGCTGGTAATGAGATGAGTTTTTTTTTACCTGAAGTCAAGCATCAAAGTTATACCAGGCGTCACAGACAAAAGGAAAATGGGAAGCTGAGACATGTTTTTCTGTGACACACTAGGGCCACTTTTTACTGAGCTATGGCAAACTACACGTGACGAGACCCTGAGGGCCCCAGACACGGGTGACCATTTCAGAGTCTTGTTTTTGGAAACAACACAATGTTACAATTCTGCAGGGAAACAAAACCTAGTAAAATCCCTGAATGTTGCATGTTAGGTACTGACGATGCTAAAGTGGGCTTTTGGGTTTTTTAACCCATAGAATTATGAGCTATAGCATAGGTTAGATGAAAAGTGTTTGGAGAGTCTGCTTCAAAGATCTGTAACAGCGGTGGGTACCATTTATTGGGTATCTTAAGGTATTAAGGCAGAAAATTCTATGATGTAGCTTCAGTCAACTTCACGCAGCTTAACCCAGCCATCTCTTCCATGATATTTTCTAATTAAACTCTCATAACAACCCCATGTGGTATTAGCATTCTCTTTGTTTAAGAAGTGGCCGGTGAGGGGATATGAACATGCAGCCGTCTGGTGTGCTGTTTGTGACAACTGAAGAGTGGTTTTCTAGTAAGCACAGAGGTTGCTCCCAGCCTGTGCCATTTAGGTCTTGATAGAATTCCTCTAGAGCTCAGGCATGGGCCACGTTCAAATTCACCAAACATAGGTGATGCTGGAGTCCATGGTCCCATAGAGACTATAAGAGGGGCACGCTTAGTGTGACTGGCAATAACGTCATCTCATTTTTATATAGCGTGTTTCTTCTTGGAGAGCAGACCTCAGAGACAGATAAGTCTTCACAGCCCCACAGAAACAGGGAGGGAGTGCTTTCCCGACTCTGTGGTTAAGTGTCATGTTTTACCCAAAGTCAATGAACAGAAGTAATAGAAGGACACCCATCACCCCAAGTTGACCTTTGTGGGATGACTCGACCATACCAGTGGAAAAACATACGTTAAAAAAACAAACAGGTTGGGCCGGCCGAGTGGCGCAGTGGTTAAGAGCTGGCTTGGGACGCCAGAGGGCCCCGGTTCGGATCCCACATATGAGGGCCAGTGACACTGCCCTCTACAAAAAAAAAAAAAAAGGGAACAAAATAAAAAAATAACAAACAAACAGGAAAAACACCACATTACCCGGCATCCTCTGTGTCTGTAGACCACTGGGGGGAGGCCGCGTGTCTTGTTCTCTCCTTGTTGAATGCAGAGGTAGTTATAAAGGCAGGGACTACAAAAGGGAGAATGACGTTGAACACATGTAGCCTAAAGTACCCAGGGTGACGTTTCCCAACCCGGGTTTCAAATCTGTCCAAAGCCCTCCATTCCTCAGCGCGAAGGTCTATGGTACACGACTAGGGGCTGAAACGAGGCTAAGTTGCAGTGTCCCCAGAACTCAAGTGGATAAGGATGTGTGAGCATGCTGATGAGTAGGGAGGGGGCGCTGCAGGCCTTGGACAGGTGGGCTTGTCTGCAGTAATAACACTAAGGAGGAACCAGGAAAAACAGCCAGGAGGCAATCATAAAAAAATGTGGGGGTCGGCAGGGGAACCAAGGGGAAAAGTGAGGTAATAGAGAAAGGGGCAGGATATTTTTTTAAATGAGAGGGAGAGAAACAGAAGAAAAGGGAAAGAGGAAGAATAAAGTAAAAGAGTAGAAGGGGGAGACAGAAGGGAAGAGGAAGAAGGCAAGAGAGAAAAGGGCATGGGAGGAGGAAAAGACGATGACCAGAGAGAGAGGAAAGGAGAACGGAGGGGGAAAGACGCAACGGAAGGAAGTGTCAGTGCTTCCCAGGTCAGTAACTGCAGCCTGGAAGTTTCGCTGCCAACCACATAGCCCAAGTGTGGCTGCCTGGTGCCGGCCAGCGCAGCGTTCTCCCCGCGCCCACCTGGGGAAGGCGAGTCGGAGTGGTTCTCTCCTCTTCCCTCGCCTCCCCGCACCTTACCCCAACCCTGACTCTGTGGGTGGGAGAAGAGAAAAGGAGCCAGGAACTCTCCTCCCACCTCTGCTCCATCTGTAACTTTATTTTATTTGTGTGTCTCCTTCCTATTTCATCTCTCAGTCCAGGGAGGAGCCTGTCACTCTATGGGGTACCTCTTGCTTCCACTCTGTGGTCAACGCAAAGAAGACAGGGTTTTGCCTTGTTCATCCATTGACACACTTACACGTTGACACACTTAATAAGTGTGTGTGCAGTGGGTCGATGAGTAAATGAAGTCCCAAACTGCCACCGTGGCACACAGGTCCTCCTTCCCTGTGGTCTTCTGTTGTTGCACTGAGCCTCGCAGCTGACATGGCTCAACAATCCTTCCTCCCTTTCATTGCAGAAACTGGACCAACCGAGGAAGGGTAGATACCAGCCGATGTTGGCTTCTGGATGCCAAAGCCATCATCAACATAAACAAAATGGCGGGAGGGGTACCGGCTGCAAAATCGAAGCTTCAACCCTACACGCTCATGTTACCTGGCTCCTTACTGCCACAAGAGGGCAGCCCTCATTCTGTTTTAGATTTTCTTCATGAGGAACCATTTTTATATTATTAGGGATTGTGAGTCAAGAGCGGCTTAATACCTGGTAGCCACTTGCCCCTACGAGGTGCAGGTATTATTTGTCTCCTATGGTTTGGTGCCTACTCTCTCCAGTAAAAAAGGACCTAGGCTCTTCCTTGCTGCACTGACATGTTTAATTGTTTCCAGAAGAGAGCGTGTCACGCTTTCTAAATGTGACTGTAGTTTTTGAACTTCCAGATTCCGTGGACAGAATCAAAAAGAGCAAGTGGATTCATGTACGTTAGGATCCATCTCTGTCTCTCTTAGACCTAGTTGTCAGAAACATAAACATCTAAATGGTTTCGGTTTTCCCATGGACTCTTTTCATTTCTGTTCTTCTGACGCATTTATGTGTTTATTCACGAAATGGAGAACGCAGGTACTGCGGAATCCACGTAGCATTCTACCAGTCCAAACTATAAAATTTTCACAATGTCTTTCTTTAGAACAAAACGTTTACCTGAGCTCCTAAGTTGTACTGCATATGTTATTACAAAAGTTCAAAGGCTTACACGCTTCATGCATAGCTCGGGGCGGGGGGAATGAGGTTAGGAAGAAGAGGACAAGTATACGACTATAGTTTCTGATATAAAATACCCTAAGAAAACGTTTTATACTAAAAATAAAAGCTAACAATTACATCCTTCTAAGTTTCCTGTCACGAAGCTGAGCGCTTTTCATGTGTTAATTCTTGCAACAACAGCCCTCTGAGATAGGTCTCCTTATCTGCCCATTTCACAGATGAGAACGTTGTGGCACAGGGAGGTGAAGAAAGGTGTTCAAGGCTCATGTCTAAATGTGGCGGCGCCAGGCAAGGTCTCCAAACCAGGGTCCTCACGCTGCCCAGCACAGCTGCCTCTATTACAACGCAGATCACAGGGTTTCACTATTTCATGCAACACATTTCCCATGTATTACTTACATGCTGCTTTATATATTTTCCCTTTCTGTCCCTAATCACTCACTGTCTGTAATGTGAAGTGAGATCTCAGAGAGGAAAAGGGAAAATTGTAACCCTTACACTCTGAGTCCCCTCAGGCGATGAGTGGTGAGGAGCAGGGGTAGGGGGTACTGTGGCCCAGGTGCTGGGCGGGGGAGCTCCGGGTGGGCACAGATTAATGCCTGTCCTAGGATGGCACCCTGTGTGTGGATAGCCTGCCCCTTTACAAAGTACTTTCACATCCTGGGTCACCCACCGATCTTCACAAAAGCTTTGTACAGAGGTGCTCTGGTGAGGTTTTGTCATCAGAAAGCTGAGTCTCACAGAAGTTAAATAATGAAGGGAAAATCAGTTAAATGAAGTTAAATGAAGGAAAAATCAGTAGTAGTACATGACTGAGCAAGGGCCCCAACACAGAAGATAGCTTCTATTTGTTTAAGACCTACTAGTCATGGTCAGTGTCAAGCCTCTATGGTTACGACCCATCCTGAAAGCAGGCCAGTAACCCTGGGCCTTGTCCCCTGCATGTCCTGTCCCCTCTGCCCCAGCTGGGTTGGGTGGCACATTCTACTGAGAGGGTGCCTTCACCCTCACATGGGTCCTCAGTAAATAGACCAGGAGCCAGCTTTCCTGGAGGTTTGGGAACCAGCACCACTTTTTAATCTCCCCCTCAAATTAGTTTTCATTACTTAAGAATGGTAAGTAATTTAGAAATCATTTTTGTCTCCTGTCCCACTTCTGCTTATGTGTGCAGGCCCGTCGCTACATGCCCGGGACAAAGACTCAATAAATGCGGGTTCCGCCTCCTTGCCCACTCCTGGCAACAATATTCAAATGTAACAGATTCTTTGTTCACAGGCTATCGGCCAACTTTTCTGGCATCCTGTCAGCCTACCGTGGTTCGGCTTTATAACTTCCACTTCTCAAAGCGTGGCGCTGCACACACTGACTTTGAACCTGAAATTAAGTTACATTTCCTTGGAGAATTTCTGAAAGCCCTCTGACACGATGGGGTCTCACAATAGCAGACTTAAAGTCACTGGTCTGTGGATATAGCGTAAAATAGAACATTGGGTTGTCGGAAAAGTCATGACGTATTTTTTCTATGTTTTTCGTTGCAAAAATGCATCGTGACTTTTCCGACAACCCCATAGAAAGAAAATTTGACACACAACACCAGCCTGGAAAGCATACAGTTTAGAGTGCATGTGGATCTCCTCGTAGGAGGAAAACACGTGTAAACAATTGTCAGTCTGTGCAACAAATACAATCCTGTGGCTTTTTGGATTTGTTTTATGATAAAAAAAATATATAAAGTCAAGATGTGCATTCAATGAAGCAGGAAAAATGCAATAGCTACTTGAGCATTAATAGGAGCGTTTCAGTGACCATGTTTTGTTCACTGGCCTCACAGACGTTTATATTTCTACACAGTTCCCAGAATCCGTATTTGCAAATTTAGCTCTAATGATAACAATTAACAGCAAAACAATACCAAGTGTAGGGCGGGGAATGGGGGGACCCACAGGATTTACAGCCATGAGATCCAGGTTTAAATTCTGGTAGCCCTTCCTTCACAAGTGCTGTCACCTCTCTGTGCTGCAGTGTCCTCATGTGTGAGGCAAGGATATTGACACTGTCCCACCTCCATGACAGGCAGCATCATGGCCCCCCAAAGATATCCATGTCCTAATCCCCAGAACCTGTGACTATGTTGTGTCACATGGCAAAGAATGAAGGTTGCTACTCAGGTGACCTTAAAATAGGGAGATTATCCAGGTGGGCCCCATGTGATCACAGGGGTCCTTCAAAGTAGGGAGTGGGGGAGAAAGGAGTCAGGAGAGAGTCCTAGGAAGGTGTGACAATAGCAGAAAGGCATGGAGAGGTGCAGTGTTGCTGGCTGTGAAGACGGAGGAAGGGGTCATGAGCCAGGAAGGTGGGCAACTCACAGAAGCTGGAAGAAGCGAGGACGTGGGTTCTCCCCCAGAGCCTTCTGGGGGGACCCCAGCCCTGCCGACACATTGATTTTAAACCAGGGATACCATGTGTCCGATATCTGACGACAGAACTGCAAAATACTGCACGTCTGTTGCTTGAGTCCCTAAGTTTGTGGTCAGTGGTTCCTCTTTCTGAGGTATTGACAAAAGGTAATCGAACCTACACCCTTCGTGTCTTTCTCTAGGACACGCTTTCTGAGCGTGAAGGAGTGAGTCTCTTCATTTTAGTGTCCTTGGCCATTTTGCTAGGCTGAGAATTCCCCAATCCATCAAGTCCTGGTTTCATTGGGATGAACAGTCCTCTCCTTCATCGATTCCTTTGCTCTCCTGTTTTGCTATAAGCAGCAGGAAGAAACCAGACATTTTGCTTGGAAATCTCTTCAACTAAATATCCAAGTTCATCCAAGTTTAACTTCCCACATAACCGCAGGACACAATTCCTCTAAGCTTTCTGCCCCTAATAACAACGGTCCCCTTTCTGCCCTGAAAAGGCGAGGGAACAAATCCCCACCTAGAGCTTTCAGGAATCAGCCTTGGTTGGCTGACTCACTTGGTTTCAGCCCAGTGAGACCTGTATTGGGATCTCCATCCCGCAGAACTGCAGGATGATAAATGTGTGCTGTTTTAAGCCACTAAGTGTGTGGTAATTTGTTAGAGAAGCCTTAGCAATCTCACACTATTTTATAGGAGTGCCAGGAAGACTGAATCCATGCCGTCTGTAAAGCTCTCAACATGCCAATGTGAGGGGTTAGCACGCCATGCATGTAACAAGGGCGCCTGCTCTGTGAATAGGGGGTCTGGTGGAGGGAGAGGTAGGAGCAGATACACAGGTGACCACGCAGCAGGACTGAGAGCCCCCAGAATGAGGGGCGCCCTCTCCCCGTGCTCCCTCACCAACCTGCACAGCTTTCCCTCACAGCCTTCACTCACCACCCGAGTTCTGGCTAACTGGGATGCAGTTCTCACTCAAGTTTGCAGTTCCAAAACCCAGCATGGCGCGGGTATGTCGCAGGTGCTCAGGAAGTCTTAACGAAACACGTCAATGAAGGCTCAGGGGCCAGGGTGAAACCGGGCCAGGGGTGGGGGTGGACGGTGGGGGGTCCAGAGAGACCACTGTCTTGCGTTTTCACGCTGTCTCATTTCCCTCGCGTTTTCCCCGAGTTGTCCTTTTCCAACATGCATTCCACAGAACACGGGTGCTATTGTGACATGCCCCTTGGCAGAAAGGGTCATTGAGCCAAGTAAGGTGGAGAAACACTCCATATCATCTCCCTCTTGGAGAATTAAAATACATGTTAGCATCATAAAGAGAGGTTCTTTGGTAGAGAAAATTGTCTGATTGACCTGATGTGTTTTTTTCCCTGACTCCACCCCTTTTTTTGCACTTCAGGAACGGCTGCCTTCCGGAAGGTGTCATGTAAGTGACCCAGCTATGAAGCAGGGGGCTGAGGAAACAGCGTGGGTCCATGCTGGGCCAGAGCAGCGGTTCTGAGACTTCAGTAAGCGTCACATTACCCTGGAGGTCCTGTTACAAGCAGAGGGTTGGGCGCTCCGCCTCCAGCCCCAGGGACTGTGGGTCGGGGTGGGGCCCCAGGAATTTGTGTTTCCAACACGTTCCCAGGTGAGGCTGAGGTTGCTGGCTGGGGCCACCCTAAGAACCACCAAACTGGAATATTCAAGGGGTCCTGTCCTTCCTGACTAGGTTGTGACAGAAGTCATCATTTCCAAGGCACCCCAATAGGAAAGTGAATCTCAGGGGCCAAAGTCGGGGCTGTAAATGCCAGTGGGCCTGCCCCCAAGCAAAGATTTCTCGTCTCTTCCCAAACTGGGAAATTTTACTTTACCTTATCGGGAAAGGAGGCCATTAAGTACTGATCTCTCTCCCACTGGTGTTATACCAGAATTGCTAAAACCTGCTGGGAGTCACAGAAAAAGACTGCTGCTGCTTAAAAATCCTCTTAGTGGTGTAGTGAGAGGGGTGAGAGCCTTTTCTGCAGTGTTTCTGCAGAGCTCATGAGCTGAATGTGATTTTTGTTCTATGGCCATCTCTCTGAGCACTCAATTACTGTCCCCGTGAGCTTACGATGGCTGCCATGTCCGTGACAGGCCTCCACCCTGGCCCTGCCATTTGCCACTCCACGACCAGGGTGATCTTTTCAAATCACAGATCTGACCATACCAGCCTCTGCAGAAAACACCCCATTGGTTTTCCAGGGCACTCTAGGGAAAGACCAAAACCCTAAACGGGGAGCTCAGGGGCCCTGCATGGAAGGGGTGTCAGCCCTCTCACTGGCCGCCTCCCTCTCTGCTCCCCACACCCGGCCCTTCCTTCAGCTTGCATTTCCCCCTGGATTATATATAAATGAGCCACAGGTGGCCCCTGGATTGTTTATTTCCTCACAGCAGGCTGAGACCTGTTAGCTCCAAAGCCTACTGGCACCAAAGTCAAATTTTTATACATACAATTATTATAAAAATAGCCAAACAAGCAGACTTTTAGCTAGTTAGCCCTGCCCTGCTTTGTATACCCTGTGAAACCACACCCAGCATCTGTTGGCCGTTGATAAGCTAAAGCCTTGTAGCTATAAGACCCCAAGCTATGATGGCCCTTGCCCTGTGCAGCTCTGTGACCCTGAGACTCCTGGCCTCAGCAGACATCACCTAGACCCATAAACCCTCCCCTTCTGGACTGTGGGGCCCACACCACAGCCTCTGGACTTCCCCTCTCATGCAACCCTGCTCCAGGACCACCCAGTACAGCTGGTGTGTTACTCTCTCTCATGGTCTTGTTTTTCTCAGATCAGCCCCCAAACCCCTCCAACCCCCTCTACCTATCTGGTTCACCCCGCTGGTCTGTCTGCCTGGACAGCTCTGTGTTTCTCAGCCTCGCCCCCAATCCCCAAGGAAGTCCCTCTGCTCCCCACCTCTGTGGCTTCCCTCCTCCCCCAAGACCAGGGGAAACCAGCCCAAGCCACACTCATAGCTCCACACACCTCGCAAGGGGTCAGTACCAGCTGGACCAAGTTGCAGCTGTAATTTTCTGAGATGAATTTCCTAGGATTCTCCAGTGACCACCTCCCCGCTGCCACCAGACTGTGATCTACTTGACAACAGGCTCCATGTCAACTTGTCTCACCATTGTAACCTTGGCAGCCAGCCAGTGCCCGGCATCAAGCAGAAACTAGATAAAATATTTGTGTGCGGAGTGGAAAAAGGAACAAAATGGCTTGACGTGGGTCATTGTGGGCATGCAATTTTCCAGGTTCCTAATGAAAAACACGGGGTCGCGGCTATCCTGAGGCTCAGTCAGTGTTTGGCTCTATCAGGTTCAATCCAGATCAATACACCAGCACTGGCCTTTTTGCTTATTTCTTTGTGAGCTTCCTGAGGCTCCCAACTCGTTAATTAGACAACTGCTGGCCCATCCGTGGGCTACCACATAACCAGAGTGCTCTTTTCAAATCACAGATCTGATCGCATCAGCTCAGATGGATTGGGCTGTCGGAAAAGTAGTCATGATGTATTGTTTCTGGTTTTCATTGCAAAAATGAGTCATGACTTTCCCGACAACCCAATAGTCGGCGTGAGGAGGAGAAGGCAGGTGTTTTAAGAGACTCATTCTATCGCTCGCTGGTCAGAAATTTATAATGGGTTCTACTATTTTCACATGGATGTGAGTGTTGGCGTTTCAACAGGAATTGCAGCGGAAGGTAATATAGAATTATTCTTATTGGACAGTCACTATCCTGTGTGAAATGTCATCACCCTACCCAAAGCCTTTTGTCGCCAGCTTGATGGAGGTTGCTAAAATATGCTGAGCGGCCGCCACTGGGTCCTAAGCATAGGGAGGGAATGGAAGGGATGGGGGGACATTTGTGCAGCTGACTGGTAACTCCTGTATCAAGCGTTTCCTGAGTTCCTTGTCTGCTCCAGGCAGACTGGCCCATCCCACTCCCTGCACAGCACCTGGCCTTTTAGAGGCACAAGAGATGGAAACGCAGCCCCCATGCAAACCTCCATACCGAAGGCGTGCCCGCAGGCCTGGCCCTGCGGAGTGGAGTACTCCAGGCAGCCGGCTCTCTCTTCCAGGGCCGGGCAGGGCGCCCCACCGTTCTGCGGCTCCTGCTGGACCTGACGCCTCCGCACGCGGGCCATGGGCTTGCAATGGTCGGCACAGCCGCTCCAGGGGCTCCACTCCCCCACGATGCACGGGCGAGCTGAAAAACAGCACGAAGGGACGTTTGCACAGCAAACCCGGACGCCGGCCAGGCTGCTCCTACCCACGTAAAAAGCGGCGTCCAGCCCGCATGAACTGCGCTTTGACTGGGCCCTGCATCAAAGGAACAGAGCCTAAGTAACATTGACGCCACTGCCCCGATCTCGTTAGCTGATAATCACGTACCTCTGAGAGGAGGGTGGAGGTTCCGGGATCAGGAAGGTGGGTCTGAGCCAGAGACACGCCCAGTAAAGAGACAGATGCCTTGAGGCCCTTCCTCATACTCTCCTGCTTACATCAGATGTTGCCCTGGTGTTTCCTTGATTTTCACTTGACCCTCCCCTGGCCAGAACATTTTTTTAATTGTAACAGTAATACATATTGTAGGAGACATAAAGGAAAAAACCAAAAGTATAAAAAAAGACAATGAACTTCATCAATAACCCCATCACCTGCCCAAGCTAAGGCCACACCAAGGGCGCCCTACAACTTGGGTCGACTCCTGGAGGCTCGGCCTCATGCGGCTCACAGACTCACAAGCTATATGAGAGCTGGAGTTGAGAGATGAACCGCCAGGCCCCACAGAGCACAGGTCGCCAGGAAGGGGCAGAGTCAGGGCAAGGGTCTGGCCAACAATTCTCTGGACGTGACTGCAAAATCAATGTGGCCGACATTTAACTGTCCCATTTAAAATCCTAATGAGTCTTTTCAAAGGACTGTAATGAGTTTTTTAATTATTTCAATATTTGAAATTGGATATAAGACAAGGACAAAAAGACAGAAGACGGACCCCTGAACTAGATGCCAAAATGCTTTCTTTCCCCCATAAAATGTGACCCGCTTTCCCTGTATCACCCGCATACGTTCATGCACAGTCTTCATCAAGAAAGCACCTTAGGGGCGGCCGGTAAGTTCAGTGGGTTAGAGCACAGTGCTCATAACGCCAAGGTTGCCAGTTCAATTCCCACATGGGCCACTGAGCTGCGCCCTCCACAACTAGATTGAAACAACTACTTGACTTGGATCTGATGGGTCCTGGAAAAACACACTGTTCCCCAATAAAATTTAAAAAAGAAAGCATCCTAACTTCTTTGAAATCTTGGCTTGGACTTCTGACTGGACTTGAAAACTCATGTTTGCCTCTGAGCACACAGTAGTTTAGGGTTCATGGCTTTTGGAGGGTGTCTCATTTGGCATCACACAGCTACTTCAGACATAAAAAGGGTCACACGGAACATAAACTATCTGTCGCTAATTCAAAAATCTGAAACTTAAAATATGTTTTTACTAATCATCTAAAAATTCATAGGTATCACATGACTCATATAGGTCAACTACCTAAAAAAGCAAAACTGAGCCACGTCAGAATTCCTTCCCAATCTCCGCCATGCAGACATCCTTTGGAAACTTGGTAACAGGTCACTTCCTGCTCTTGTCATCTCTTGTTGACCCTCCCTTTTCATTTTCAGGACCCCATGATTTAATTGGCCCATAGAAACAAAAGAGACTGTCAGGCTCGGAGCTGGTTGAGAAGGGTTCCTTCTGTCCTTAATTCTTTCAACAGCTCTCTTCCCCACCCAGATCTCTTCATCTCTGAGTCTAGCTAGTCCTGCCCTGATGTTTTGGACTTAAACAACACTTAAAGATACACTTTTTAAAAACACACTAGTTTCAAAGATTAACATTGGACATCACAGTAAAATGAAATTTGCCATGGTGCTAACTCAGAATTTAGTAATATGACCTTGGGTTACACTCTATCCAGGTGGTAAAAGATGACATTGGGGAGGATTGTCTAACTGAATTTAGTCTCCCAGTACTTTTCCAACATTTGTGTCGGTCCAATGTTTATTTATTTTTTAATTTGGTTGCATCCACAGTGAAAGCCCTCACATCAACGGATCATTGAATCAGCTGTTGTTTCTATTTGGTTCAACTTTGTCCTTGGCAAAATGCTACATCCCATGTCACGATCCATGGCTTTAACCGTCTCATCAAGAGAGTCAGAACATTCTGGAAGCCCTGAAGAACAACATCTCAATGTCTGCATGGTAAGTCAGAAGGAAAAAAAAAGTTCACATGGAATTACAGAGCTCACATAGAGTCAAAAGGTATTCCACAAAATATTGGGAGTTGGAAGATTCATCTGCGGTATTTCTTCCTATTCTGTGGGGGGGAAATATTCTCGATTAACTTGTGAGTTTTTGGGTGATTTGGATTGTAAGTCATCGCAGATCACACACACTCTTTGGTCACAGAGGTCAGGGGAAGTATGGAAACTTGTGACAGATTTATTATAAGTCATATATTACAGCTGTATGACACCAATTTCCTTTTGAACTATTCCATGAATATGCTTGTCGCCTTCCCACTTCGCTTACCTAATTTACATCTACACACAGCATACCAAAATATTCTTTCTTAAAAATCTGACTTCCTCAATTTTCACATTTCACTTGCTGTTCCTGGGGCCCGACAGACCGTTATCTAGTAAGCAGCGTGATCACCTTTGACTCCCCGCTTGTCACAGCTTCCTGAGGTCTTGATAGTTAGGATATGATGACATCATCCCACTTCTTGTAGGGACAGAAGCCTAGATTTCATGGGTGCCAGGAAGCTCGGCCAGCCCTTTTTTCTCTTCTTCGTCTTTGGTTACACACAACATAATGTTCAGGCTGAGTTTTCCCAGCCTGACCTGAGTGACCTGAAGGCAAGTCATTGATTTGAGGGGTGGGGTGATCCCAAGAAGAAGTATAAAGGAATGGAGAGCACAGACAGGAAATAGTCATAGAAGAGAGACCAGGGGTATGAAGCAGACACCCAAGTTCCTATGTTAGGCTGAGTGGGCACCTGTGGCGCCCCGCTAGGAAGGGAGGTAATCTAGAGCAGCCGTTCTCAACCTGTGGGTCGCGACCCCTTTGGGGGTCGAACGACCCTTTCACAGGGGTCGCCTGAGACCATCGGAAAACAAAAAGATGTTTACATGACGATTCATAACAGTAGCAAAATTACAGTTATAGAGTAGCAACGAAAATAATTTTATGATTGGGGGTCACCACAACATGAGGAACTGTATTAAGGGGTCGCGGCATTAGGAAGGTTGAGAACCGCTGATCTAGACTGTGAGGAAGTATCAAGTCCTTCCTGGTGTGCCAGCTAGCTTCCCTTCCTCACGAGTTTCTGGTTACCCGATGTCCCTACCACAGCCACAGGGAGAAAGACCAAGAACAGAAAAGTGGCTTATATGTTTCAGTAACGAATTTGCATACCACAAGAGTAGGGCATATGTTCACGTGCCCTAACAGGGTATCTAGTCACAGCCACATACAATTACCTTAAAAGATGTACCACTGATTTTTTTTCTTTTTTTAATAAACGGCTTTTAAACCCCCTCAGTGGTTTGCCATTGAATTTGGCATAAAATTCAAACTCCCTGCCATGTGTGAGTGGCCTGTGCCTACCCCTCCACTCCCACCTGGAACTGCCACCCCACGACCCCTGTGCCAAGCTCCAGCCATGTTTCCCGACCTCTCGAAAACACCAAATTCTTTCCCCTCTTTTTTGTTGTGTGTTCACTCTGCCAGCTCCTCCCACACTGGGCATGGCTGGATTCAACTCATCTTTTAGATGAATTATTTCCTCCTCAAAGAGTCCTTTTCTGGCCAGCTAACTAAGCTTGTTTCCCAGCACCCCGTTACACACCCCTCAAAATTATTTCCTCTTGGAGCACAATGTTCCTTGCCTTCTAGCATCCCAGTGATTCATAATTACTTTTATTTTTATTTTGGTTTATTGTTGTTGAGTTTTTCATTTCATGCCTAGTGCTTGGCACGTGGTAGGTGCTCCAAAAACATTTGTTGAATGAATGAACGCGTGAAATGGCATTGGGCAAGTTCCTTCTCCTTGGTAAATAATGTTCTACATTGAAACAGACTCTGATCTGCTCATATCGTTAATTGGAAGCCCAAACACTGACAGAGGCCCCAGAATGGAAGGAAAAGCCGGGAAAAGGACAGGAGCAAAACCAGAACCTGTAGCCAACACACAGGAATTCTTAGCCTGGCCCAGAGCTGTCTGCGTTCTCCTGGCAATGGCAACCCCAGTGGGTGTTGCTGCAAGAAACATGGCTGTCTGTGCCTTCAGGTTAGGTAGATCATGGCTGCCCCTGGCAACCACAAGTCCTTCACACCCTTTTTAGTCCACTTATAGCTCCTGCCAGTACCACATCTCGAATGCAACAAGTTTCTTACATTTTATCATCTGTGGCGTGAAATGGTATTTCCTTTTATTTGAGCCAAATTTCCCTCACACAAGGATTTCAGAACATGGTGCAAGAAAAAAAAAATCTATGTTTATCTTATCTGTGCCACTCATGGATTTACTGTTTCAGGAGGTCCCCTTTCCTCCAGGACGGACATTTCAGGTTGATGACTCCAGGATTTGGATCCATTTTTCTGTAGACACTTCCCCGCTCAGAATTACCACGGGACTCAGCCTGGGAGAGTTGTGGCAGCCAGAACTAGACACACTATTCTCAGTCATTCGGTACCAAAGGGTAATTTTTTTTTTTTAAGATTTTATTGGAAGAATTGGGGGAGGGGAACAGCGTTGGGGAATCAGGGAAGGGGAATAGACAGGTAGACAAATTGCTGTTTTTTTTGTTCTTCAGTCTAGTGGAGGACGTTGCTTCACTGGCCCATGTTGGTATTATCATTGTGGTCTTCCCAGGTGAGGCAAATTGGTCGCCGGCCTCTGGACGGCCACTCACGGCGTCTCTTGGCAGCTCACACCGGCTGCGGGTCACTCACGCTGGCTGCCAGCCACTCACGTAGCTCATGGCAGCCCACTGCAGTCCCGCTGCAGCCTACACCGTCGCCGGTGACTCACAGCAGCCCAGCTCCAGGTTGAGCTGTAGTTCATCATCTTAGCTGTAGAAGGCGAGCGTCACTGGCTCTCAATGTGGGATCTGAACCGCAGCCCTGCTGCTCAGAGCTCTTAACC